TTATGCTCAAACAGCAACATTATACACTAGCAAAAGTTCTAACTAAAAATCATAATCAACCACCCCTTTAAGGAATAGTTGATCCTACTTTACATCTTTCGATTTTCTACCATTTCAGTAGATTTTTTTTTAAATTAAACCATTAAATAAATAGCCTACATAAAGGTACTTCTTAATTCTTCTTATAATATTTATATAAATAATATTTTAATAGAATTTATGAATTAATTAAAGATTAAATGCAAGATCTTCATAATTTCTATTTGTCTTTTAAATAATAATTGTTTATATTCTGGATTAAATAATACACAAAAATAAGCACTTCTTAATTTAAAAACTCATTTTTTAAAGAATTGTTTATATTCTATATTCTGGATTAATTCATAGTAAAATAAATCTTTATTCTAACAAATAAATAATTGCTTATACTCTGGATAAATTAATAGAAAATAAATAAACATTTTTCAAGACTAATGGTGTTGTAAATAGCGTTTCACTGTAACAGTTCATGCGAAGTCTCTAAAAGACTCTCCTGTGGACATAAACTGCTTAATCTTAAAACTTTTCTTTTGCTTCAAGATTTGTACCTTTTTTTAAGTAAAGACAGCTACATAAAAAGTAGGTCTAATTTGAATCCAAAAAGTAAGACTGGTTAGCCCTAACTAATAGCAAGTTGGTCAGACTAGTGGTGCTTATAAATAAATACATAAAGGTGCTTCTTAATTCTTATTTTAAAAAAGGAATTGTTTATATTCTGAAATACTTAGTAGAAAATAAATACACATATTTGCTGTTTTAATAAATTTACGAATTGTTTATATTCTGGATAAATAGAAGAAAAAAAGCTCTAATATATTTTTCTATATAAATAATATTTTAATAGAATTTATTAATTAATTAAAGATTAATTAATGGAAATAAATGCAAAATCTTCATAATTTTTAAATAATAATAGTTTATATTCTGGATTAAATAATACACACAAATAAGCAGTTCTTAATTCAAAAACACTCCTTTTTTTAAAGAATTGTTTATATTTTATATTCTGGATTAATTCATAGAAAAATAAAAGTAAATCTTTATTCTAACAAATAAATAATTGTTTATATTCTGGATAAATTAATAGAAAATAAATAAACATTTTTCAAGACTAATGGTGTTGTAAATAGCGTTGTCACTGTAACAGTTCATGCGAAGTGTATTAACATAAACTGCTTAATCTTAAAGGTTTGTCCTCTTTACTTTTCTTTTGCTTCAAGATTTGTACCTTTTTTAAGTCAGACAGCTACATAAAAAGTAGGTCTAATTTGAATCCAAAAAGTAAGACTGGTTAGCCCTAACTAATAGCTCGTTGTTCAGACTAGTGCTTATATACAGTCTTAACTTACCGTTACATTTATTCAACCGGCCCCTGCTCTGAAGCTCTTAATGTATGAGACGTTCCTTGCTCATTGTCCACAATAAAGCTTCTTCCTTGATAACTGAAGGCTTCGTTCTGAAATGTATACACGTTGGCCTTAACAAAGCATTCATGATAACAAGATAAATGGCGGCATCTATTAAGAAATGCACACATGAAACAAACTTAACTGCTAAATGCACATGATAAACTGCTTTTAATGTCACCTTAGCCCTTTTGTCCAAGAGTGATGTGATAATATGAGTCTTTAAAGTACAGCCTGGTCTCTAATTGATCTGGCTTATGTCATGTAAAAAGTTTCAAATATTGTCAAACATATGGACTTGTGTTCTTGCTCCAATCAATATTCTCTTTGGTTACAACAGACACGGACATGAAGAATGGGGATATCTGTGGCATCTTCCCCAGCAAACCCCTCTGTTCCCCCGCCAGACTCAAACACATCCACCACGACTGGATCCAGACCAACACACACATCTCTGTGGAAAAGACTTTTTTTCTTAGACGTTTATCTCATTTCTAAACAAAACTCAAATATTATGTTACAATCCTCCATTAATAAAACTGCTTAAGAGCGGTCCAAAGTTTATACCCAGAAGAGTCGCAGTCATGTACAACGTTTTAGTCCACATAGTTGTGGGCAGATTTCAGCAAGAGAGTTGCTATATTTTCTCATTTCCTTGAAATCTTCCACAAGAGTCGAGTGGTGTCTCTCCAGCACCAAAGAAAGCCAAATGAAAGGAGTGTTTTTAGAGACGTGATGGCTCTAATACCTGCTCAACCATGATAATTGCCACTCTTGTCTCACTGGGTCATATTTTAAGATGAAGCGTGGAGACACTCTTCCCCTCTGCCGTTGTTTACGTGACATTTTAAAGATGAATTTCAGCCTAAAGAAATAATTCATCTTACTTAAGCATGCATACTTAAGCACTATCCAATGCCATTTTGTAGTTTAAATAGTTTGAGTAGCACGTTCACACAGAAAACTCAAGATAGAAAAAAGTACACTTTAGTAAATACCCAGATGATGTTCTTAAAGGGATAGTTGACTTTGAAATTAATTTTTGGTATGTTTTATCTTACCTCAAGGGCATCCAAGATGTAGGTGTCTTTGTTTCCGCAGTATTTTCAATTTTGATATTTTTAGGTCAAACCGTTCTTGTCTGTCAGTCATATAATGGAGGTCTATGGTCACCACCTCAAAGAGCATGCACAGAGAAGTCCAAATTAAACATGATTTAATGACTCGTAAATGTAAGTACACATTGATGGCCTAAGACACGAAACGAGCGGTTTGTGTGAGAAAACGAACAGTATTTATATCGTTTTTACCTCTTGTAACCACAGCCAAGTGATCTGATGGTGCAGGCGATCAAAATTATATAAATACTGTTCGTTTTCTCACACAAACCGCTCGTTTCGTGTCTTAGGCCATCAATGTGTACTTACATTTACGAGTCATTAAATCATGTTTAATTTGGACTTCTCTGTGCATGCTTGTTGAGGTGGTGACCATAGACCTCCATTATATGACTGACAGACAAGAACGGTTTGACCTAAAAATATCAAAATTGAAAATACTGCGGAAACAAAGACACCTACATCTTGGATGCCCTTGAGGTAAGATAAAACATACCAAAAAATAATTTTAAAGTGAACTATCCCTTTAAATACTTGGAAAAATGAACTCTGCATCCAGAATAAAATACTTATCTACTATATGCAAAAAGCAGTTTGGCAAAAGAGTAGTGCGAATGCATAGTATTTGAAACACAGTCCCCGGATAACCTTCTACTTCCGCAGAGATTCGGCAGTGCGCATTCAATGGACACTTTACCATCCCATGAGGCCACGGGAGAGGATTTGTGAATGACAGTGAAGCGACGCAACTGACGCTGGTAGGTCACGTGACCTTAACAACATGGCGGATGTAGTCTAATTTTTAACTCATGCTACCCATATAGAACACACAGTGGAAGTGTGGAATGTAACTTCATGTCACAGCTTTAATTACGCAGTGGAGGGGGAGGAGCAATCAGACTCTGATGTTGAATGACAAAAATAACCTAATAAAATGTAAACATTAAATGGTTGAGTGCATGAGTGTGTAGTAGAGCCCGAACGATAAAGGATTTTGAAGGCCGATACCGATACAAATATTTTTTGGTTTTAAAATCCGATATTCCGATATATCGGCCGATATTTGTTTTTTTCAGAAACGCGCAAAAAAACATTAACAGATTTCCCTAACATTAGTTATTTGTAGTTATTTATGAGTTTTAACTAAAATAATATAATAATGCATTTTAAAAAGAAACCTGTTTCTTTTATTGTCACAACAGAACAGACTGATGATAGTGGCATAGCTAGCTTTATGGTTAGCTAGTCTACGATGAGCCATAATTTAGCAATGGATTATGTCGTACTGCAAATTGTAAAACATACATTTTCAATATAACAGGCCAAGGAGAGATGGTACGTCTCATTGCTATAACTGTCACACGCTATTAAAGAAATACTTCAGTCACATTGTCAAAAGTTAAAAGTCAACTACGTACACTGTAACAACTTAACGTAACTATTACTAGCTAACTCCGCTTCACTCTCGCCTTATTTAACAGCAGCAAAACTGGACATGATAGTCACAAATTTTGTCATGCTTATTTGAGTTAAGAGAACTGATGGGGATGATCTTTTAATTGCTATTCAAGCATATGTATCGTGACCAACTCAACGAGTGTTGCCAACAGGGATGGTGTAGAGTGCCCTCTGGTGGACAAACTATACAACTCCAACACTCAAACACTCCAACATGACATGGTTCAAGCGTGTTTCGTCTGTTTTTATTTTATTTTTGAAATATTCATATATCGGCCATTATAACTGCCGATACCGATAGTTTGGAAAATGCCTAATATCGGCCGATAATATCGGCCTGCCGATAGATCAGTCTGGCTCTAGTGTATAGTGTGTCATTTGGGACACAACTTTGGATTAAACCTCTGGATTTGTTTTATGATGCCTTCACTTTTAGATCTTCTAAGTTTTGGTAACATGGATGTATAAGAAGTGGAAGGTCAGCTAGGTATTTTGCATACTGTTTTTCGCATACTATATAGTAGGGAAGCGTTCGATTTTGGATGCAGGGCTTGTTTATCTGTCTCTTTTTCAATTACCTGTCACAATACTTTTTATCAGTACTGAATGTAGCTATTATAGTTATAATCAGCATTTCTTTCGCTTCATTCGCCATCTATATTTTAATTTCCACTGAGTTTGTACCGTATGAGAAACGCATTAAAGGATTTCCGTCTCCTTTAGGGTGATATCCGATCCTGCCTGGGATTTTGGCCAAATCTAGGTTTCTTTTGGGCCTTTACATCAGGAGTGTGTCTTACGGAGGAGCAACGATCGATGGAGTACCTCAGCTAAAATAAAACATGACATTAAACCATAGCTAGTTTTGAGTCTTGTGAATGAGTCAAGAAATTAGAAGACTTACCACACAATTTCATTTCTTTTAGAAATAGTTGAATAATAAAATGTAAATAATAAGTTATTTTATTTCATTGTTTTATCTTTATATTGTTCAGAGAGAGAGAGAGAAATCAAAATAGAAAGTAATAATGTTCATGCTGTGTACAGTTACCATCCCCAGTCTTCTTTTCTCTGTACTCTTGCTCTAATCTGTTCCTCACACTTTATATTTCTGACTTCAAGCGTCACGTGGATTTGTTCCCGGTGATGTGTGTCAGGGTGACATACGCAAAGTCCATGATACTCTGGCCTGAAATCCCTGTTATCCCTGTCAGCTCCTCCACTACCTGCGGTGCACATAAACCAAACACACTTTAAGATTGTCACGTTTAAAGCAAGTAACAGATATTTAAATACACTTCACAGCTGACTGACTGAATCAAGATGCATTCAGAAGCTGTTCTGTACCTTTTCCCATGTTGAGATATGATGAATGAAGGCGGCCACAGCAATTACTCCAACTCCCAGAAGCATGAAATCCTCCGTCACCGACACAAACTTGGCTCTGTTGCAAACACAAAATATACGTCATATTTCCCCAGGCCATGGCAGGTTCCACCCTCAGAATGAGTAATGACCTTGTTGAAGGAGAAGTGTGTAAATCACGCACCACCAAACAGCAAATATATTAACTAGGTTTACATTTCCCGAATGAAATACGAGAGCAAAACACACCGGCATGGTGTTCTTACAGGTTTTTAGCATGTTGTTATACTGTATACATGCTGTATGTGCATTACATTGGCTGAACCAAAAGTTGGACAACTAAGAAATATTTTGAAAGCACCAGTGTCAATAACCTGTTAAAGGAGTAGTTCACTTTAAAAAAATCTTTTGCTGATAATTTACTCACCCCCATGTCATCCAAGATGTCCATGTCTATCTTTCTTTAGTCGAAAAGAAATTAAGGTTTTTGATCAAAACATTCCAGGATTTTTCTCCATATAATGGACTTCAATGGGAACCAAACGGTTCAAGGTCCAAAAGACAGTTTCAGTGCAAACTGTTCAAAGGGCTTTAAACGATTCCAGACGATGAATAAGGGTCTTTGTGAATAAGGGTCATTTAAAAAAAAATAAAATTAAGTTTTATAAACTCAAATGCTCACCTTGCACTGTTATGTGTGACTCTCTTGTTCGAAGTCGTTTATCAAAATGAACAAATCTTTTTTTCGTGTCATTTGGTTCATTCAACGAACGAAATGAACGAATTGACTCGGAAAAAGATTTGTTCATTTTGATGAACGAGTTCAAACAGGAGAGTCACGAACGCGCATCACAGAACAGAGCAAGCCGATCATTTGAGCTTATAAAACTTTAACTTTGTTATTTATAAAATGAGCGATCGTTTCGCTTGATAAGACCCTTATTCATCGTCTGGAATCGTTTAAAGCCCTTTGAACAGTTTGCACTGAAACTGTCTTTTGGACCTTGAACCGTTTGGTTCCCATTGAAGTCCATTATATGGAGAAAATCCTGGAATGTTTCATCAAAGACGTTAATTTCTTTTCGACTGAAGAAAGAAAGCAAATCAAACCTGGTTTAGATCACGTTCACGCTCGCTAAATTCTCTCTCTTTAAAATCAGGAGCTGTGTCTGAAATCGCCCTCAATCACTATTCTTTACATTACTCCACTAATATGAAGGAGTGAATGAAAACGAGTGAGTGCGCCGGAAGGATTTCTGCTTCTGCATAGTTTGTGCTTGCCGTTTAATTATTAATTGAAATGTAGCAAACTGGCAGCTCAAGCAGTAATGAAAAGATTTATCTTGAACTCTGTCAAGAAAACCAGCATGTAAAAATAAATAAATAATTAAAATGGATGGATGGATGGATGATTCAGCTGCAGACGCCATCTTCTGGCATGGGAATTCATTTGTCGTGACCCTCAGAGTGCATTATGGGTATTCTCTAGGCGTTGAGCGTGCATCAGTTGTACACTCGTTATTGCAGATTATTATGGAATTATTATTATTATTATTGGGCCCATACACACTGGGACGAATATCAGCGTGCATTATTCGCCAGCGTTTTTCAATGCGTTTTTTTTTGTGTTTACACCCAAGCGATTTTCACTTACTTACAAAAATAAGTTATCAATGCAATAAATTAATTCAGCAAATAAATGTTGTACTAAAACGTAAATGTTTGGCAATAAATATATAACAGCAATAGAATAGCTTTACAGTAAACAGTTTTTTTTTTTTTGCAGTACTAGCCTATCTTATATTAGTGACGCAAGACCATGTAAACAAACAAAAAAACACAGCCAATGTCCAAAGTGGCAATTAGTTATAGGATAACGGACACAGCGCATCAATGATCATCATGTTTGTAGCATGATCCAGGGGATTAAAACGTCCAAAATATATTTCAGGCCTAGTGGAGTTGGTAGCTAATAATAGTAGTAAAAGTGTAAAGTTGCATACAATGGAAATACTCACTAATGCAAGAAAAAACTACCTCAAAAAACTTTTATCTGTGCTGTTGTCCAGTAACTCCAGTTGGAATTTTCACCGCGATATGGCGGCCGCGCTACCGAAGCGCCATCTAGTGGCTGTTACCAAAAAAGCATTAGAGTTTCGCCTCTTGTCCTTCTATACTCTTTGCTTACGATGAGCCGAGTGAACATGCAAATTCATTCCCTAACATTAGATGGCGCCCGTTTGCCATGCAATACCACTCCATAACAGTTCTCTTATATCAAGATGTTTGTAGTCGCTGTCGCGTTTGTCATATAGTTCTAACACCAACGAGACCAGCAGCTCTACATTCATACGGCCTTGCATCTTCCTCGTCTTATTTCTTCCTGGCTGTGTAGACGGCGATGCGTGTATCTTCTTCACCGTTGCATATGTGTGCTTGGCAAGACCGTTTTGTGTTTGAGCGCCCCCTTGTGTTTTACCATCTCTTCAGAAGCTCCAAACACTTGAGCAAAAGCGCCAATTTCATTGGTCGGATAGTTTTTGACGCGGCGCGGCAAACAAAAAAAAATGAACCCGAGGCGTTTTTAAAAAAAATGACGCTTTTACGTGTGGCGTTTTATGTGTCGGTGTGAACAGTCACCTTGGCGACCTTTGTTTAGTCACGAGGCGTTAAACGTCGGCGAATAACGCGCACGAAATTCGTCCCGGTGAAAGTGTGACATGTGCAGTGAACAGCCATGAAGAGCGTCAGTTTGACTAACTTTTCTAGCCTGACTTCGTCATACTCATATTCAAGAGAGAATATGAGTCTAAAACTCCTCAGTTGGGATTTGATTATGAGGCGTGTCGTAACCGAACCAGGAAAAAAAAAAACTCTGCACTCAATTGGATAGTCGGTAGACCTACAACCAATCAGAGCAACGCAGTAAGTCAACTCCTTTGCATAGCGCAGTTTTCAAATGCAGAACGTAGCCTAACTTTATTTATTTTAGAAGTTAAATAACGAGTGTTGCTTCTTTTACTTACTTCTCCATAAGTGCGACCAAAGGAGAAACCACAACGACCACAGGCTTTTCATTACGTCCATCTTCTTAACGACCGTCAGAGCCAGCTGATAAGTTACACTTTTCCCGAATCATGTAAGAAGGACGGCAAAAATATTTTTCCGATCGACAAATGCCTTGATTGCAGTTTTCTGTTTGTCTATTAAAATGAATGCGCTGTCGATTTATTTTACAAAAGACGCGACAGCGGAATCTATACATCTCAATTCTCCAGCTGCAGTCAGGGAAACCAGTTAAGCGCTCTTTGATAACGTGATGATTACGTCCCAGCAGATCATCTGTCCATCATCTTATAAAGCCCGCCCTGGCAATCTGATTGGCCCGTTAATTTTTTGACTGATCATAATTACTCCTCAATGGAGCGAGTCCAGAGCGAACTTCCCGACCAGAAAATGTTGTGGGCGGAGTTCGGACTCGCATCCAGGCTATAACTTTTCATGAGAGTCGGCACAAATAATTTCTCTGGTGAAGGAGATCTTGTTATTTTAGGTTTGTTCTTGCACATCAAGCAGGTTCAGTTGAGCTTCTGTTTGTTCGCTGATTAATGTTTAATTTCACTGTTTATGTTTGCTGAGGAATATTGCAGCTTTCAGTCTCCGCTTTGACCAAGGAGTGCGCCAAGGTCAGACTGGAAATTAACTTAGTAGACTCACGCGACAAACGTGTAAGGGAGGCAGCCCCTGTCTTAAAAACTGGAAGAAAGTGGTCAGCAAAGAAAGCTGTGGAAAATGCAAAGGCTGCCCTTCAAATTGGGGATATTGTGGGGCAAGTACAGCATGGAAGAGAGGGTTTTGGGCTCAGTTTAGCTTCTGAAGGAGAGGATGAGGTGTATAAAGGCCATTTATAAGAATGCATGAGATGGGAGAGTGTGGAACAACACAAGGTGGGCTGGCAAGACCTTTGGTCAATGGACGAGAGTAGGATCAGTTTCCTTATCAGGTCAACATGTTCTCCCATCACCACAGAACCTAAACCTCTGGGTAGGAGAGGATCCCTCTTGTCCTTTGTGTTCATCACCTGCCACATTAAGGCACATTTTGACAGGATGTAAGGTGGCTCTTAGCCAAGGTTGGTTTACTTGGCGCCATGACCAAGTACTGCAATGTTTGGCTTTAGCATTGGAAGGCAAGCGTAGTATGACCAATAAGTTGCCGCCTGTTCTAGCAAAACATTACACGCAGAAGACAATATTCCTCCGCCCAGGCGAGCAACCACCAAGAAAAGATGTTAAAACCAATTCTCGCCCAGGACAGCTGGAAGCTGCTCGGGACTGGAAGATGCTGGCTGATCTTGATCAACGGCTTATTTTTCCACCACTAACTTGCGACCAGATATTGTCTTGTGGTCTGGATCAGCGTGCATTGTTCAACTGATATGCCATTGGTGGATGCTGTAGATGAGGCATATGAGAGGAAGTGTAGTATGCTCATCTAGACATTTAGATTTATTCATTTAGCTGACACTTTTATCCAAAGCGACTTACAATTGCTATATCTGTCAGAGGTCGCACGCCTCTGGAGCAACTAGGGGTTAAGTGTCTTGCTCAGGGACACATTGGTGTCTCTCAGTGGATTCGAACCCGGGTCTCTCACACCAAAGGCATGTGTAGGCACTGCGCCATCACCACCCACTGAAGCAGAACAGTGAGGACGGAGAGTCCAGGTTTATCCGATGGAAGTGGGCTGTTGAGGATTTGTGGCATACTCTACAACCCGGATTCTCAGAGACGTCGGATTCAGTAGCCAATAGTTGCGTCGTACAGTGAAGAATATATCTGAAGCAGCAGAGAGGAGCAGCAACTGGCTGTGGATCAGACGAATATATTCTATGTACAGGCCGCCATGCTACGGTTTCGAAGAATTCTTGAAAGACTTGAAGAGTCTGTTGGATAATTTGTACAGTTTGCATAGTAATAGTTATTACAGTACAATCCCTGTTGTGTTTTGCGGTAGGTAGAATACCATACCATATGGAGCCGTTGCCAATGAGGGGTCATGAACTGGCTTTTTAAATTTATTATATTGTTGTCTGAAGTCAACTTATGACGTTCGCTGGTTTTTAAATTCAAAAACATCCAAATGAATAAGTAATAGGCTATTTTCTACCCTAGTTTTGAGCTTAGCTGAAAAACGCTTGGTTTTTATGGGCGTCTCGCACTGAAGACTTGAGTTTAACTCACTCGTCGGTGCACTTGGGGGAAATTGTATTTAAAACATCCAATGTTGTAAAATGGCAACTGGAATGATTCGCCCATACATGTTTGACCCAGAGTCCGTGTGTTGCACAATTCCTGTCAGATCCAATATAGACGGCACAGCACCGTTCTTTACTCTTAATCGCTCTGCAAATCCAGTCTTGTTGACAAAACAATCCTCAGTGAAATGAAGCGAACAGACGAACAATGTTTTACCCTCATCAGCTGGAACGTCATTAAAAATAAAGTTTATCCATGCAGTCCTATTGGAATCCAGATGAAGCTCATGCAGCGACTGTCTTGCACAACCAGGCACTGCACAATATTCTGTATCGCTCTGTAGCTCGATTCGGTTTGTCATCACAAGGTAGGAATCTATGTTATTTAGCTATGCGTGTAATGCGCGAATCTGTGGGCGGGGCTAAACCAGCCGTGTTGATCTTCTTCTGCGGGGGTGGTGTTTTATCCTCTTTGACGTCACTTTGAAAAACGAGTCGTTTGCTGAGCCTGGTGTCAATAAAAGCTTTTATTGGACTAACAAGGACGTTTTCAGTTCTGAAACTTACAGGATATTCTTATAATATGATGACCTCTTAGATGTCAAAAGCTCAAGGAAAATTTGATTTCTCAGTTCATCACCCCTTTAAAGACAAGAGCAGGGCTTCGACAGCTTTAGTCAAACGGGTTGGCGCGTATGGTCAGGTTGCGGTGAGATTGTGGCGTTAGAGATTTGGTGGTCACATCAAGGGTTTATGCCTCTGAACTACGAGGAAGGAGCAACCTCGGCAGCAAGAGGGATCTCAAGCACAATAGAAAGAAAGAAACGCTGATCTACAGGTTAGTAAGCTGGGATGAGTTGAGTGGGGGATGGAGGGGGGTGACTCTGGGACGCCAGAATCACAGTCGAGCCCTCTTGAGGTGTCGTGGGCTAGTCGATGAAACACTGAGGACAGAAGGTGCCCACTTGAAGACCCCAGAGATGTCCCCTACTCGGCTCAATCCAGACGCTTGTCGCGCTGATCCGCTGGGGAGACTGCACTGTGGCTGATCCCCGGAGACAGCATCGCAGCCGCTGTGTGTGTGCTGACGCACCAGGGAATATACTTCAGCCATTAACACCAGACAGAAGGATATTCACTTCACCATATGGAAGGAAGAGTACATGGATGGAGAAGTATAGGTTACTGTAAAGCTTGCAAATCAGCATGAAGGTGTGATGGAAATCATTTGTGAATGAAAGCCTCAATCTTCAATTCAATCTGTTCATCATATAACATGATTGAGTCTCTTCAGAATAATTGGACCAAACCATTAAACTCATATGGGTTAGTTTAATGATCTCTTTGAAGCTTCAAAGTGGTAGGTGTGTAGCTGTCAATGGAGGGACAAAAAGCTCTCAGATTTCATTAAAAGATCTTCATTTGTGTTCTGAAGATCAACGAAAGTCTTACGGGTTTGGAACGACATGAAGGTGAGTAATTACTGACAGAAGAATCAATTTTAGGTTAACTAAAGGGTTGCTTTAATGCCTCGGATTAGTGTCACTTACTTTAGTCAAAGCTGATTGATCCAGTTTTGCTTCGCGATCTCCAACCAATTAAACCTGCTCATGACTAAGTCAGCCCTATAGAGTAAGTTACCATAAAGGTGATGATACACAGGGCAACTTTTTGAGCAATGTTGCTGGGCAATCTTGCCGAGTGATTGTTGGGCACTTTCCCATTGAAAATGGGCAATAAATTTCAATCGGGATCAGTTAGATCTGTCGTGGGCCCTGCTGTGTCTCATCTGGTTACCCGTTGATGGCAACAATGCTCAAAACGTTGCCATGTGTATAATCACCTTAAAGGAGTAGTTCACTTTTAAAAAAAACTTTTGCTGATAATTTTACTCACCCCATGTCATCCAAGATGTCCATGTCTTTCTTTCTTCAGTCGAAAAGAAATTAAGGTTTTTGATGAAAACGTTCCAGGATTTTCTCCATATAATTTATTTTACTGGGCACCAAGCGGTTCAAGGTCCAAAAGACACTTTCAGTACAAACTGCAAACTGTTCAAAGGGCTTTAAACGATTCCAGACGATGAATAAGGGTCTTATCAAGCGAAACGATCACTCATTTAAATAAAAATTAACAAAGTTCAAGTTTTATAAGCTCAAATGCTCGACTTGCTCTGTTCTGTGATGAACAGGAGAGTCACGAACGTGCATCACAGAACAGAGCAAGACGACCTTTTGAGCTTATAAAACTTAAACTTTGTTATTAATTTTTTTAATGAGCGATCGCTTCGCTTGATAAGACCCTTATTCATCGTCTGGAATCGTTTAAAGCCCTTTGAACAGTTTGCACCGAAACTGTCTTTTGGACCTTGAACCGTTTGGTTCCCATTGAAGTCCATTATATGGAGAAAAATCCTGGAATGTTTTCATCAAAAACCTTAATTTCTTTTCGACTGAAGACAGAATGACATGGACATCTTGGATGACATGGGGGTGAGTAAATTATCAGCAAAAGTATTTTTTTTTAAAGTGAACTACTCCTTTAACACTGCTAAAAAATAATCATACTGCTTAAACTTAACTCAAACTTACTTACCTTGGGTATAGTCCCGGAAACTGGCTTCATGAAATATGCCATATTTAAAGTTAAAATGGCAAATTTAAAGTTTTCTTTACAAAATCCCAAACTTTACCTTTAAGAGTAGAGAGAGTAAAAGGGTAAGGAAACAGCTCGCCTGTACCTTTGCTCATCAGAAGGACTGGGGCATCCGGTGGCAGATATGAGCAATGAGGTGTAGATTGTCTCCCTCTGCAGGTAAATAAACTGCAGTACATGCACACACAGATGATGCAGGTGTGCCACAGGGACGGTTGCATCATTATGGCCTGTGTGAGAGCACAAAACGCAGTGTTTTAGACTATTTGAGTTCAGTTAATAGCTGCTACCTGAGAAAATAATCTTACCCAGCACTTCCAAAAGGGTCTCCACGTACGTTACAGGATTTGGGACATTTAAATTAAAGTTGAGAGTTTTTAAAATGAGAATCTCCGAGTCCAAGAGTTGCTCTTTGGAGGAAGTGTAATTGACTGCATGCAGAAATCTCATTGCAATATCATTATTAACCACCTAAATGAATGGAAATAGAACAAATCACAATATAACACATGGAATATTTGTTTTGTTGTCATTTATGCGCTGAACATACATTCGAGTACAGGTCCAGTTTGCTGGCTATCTGAACGCTCGAGAGGATGAAGAGAAAGAGCTTCTTCTTGAGTGTTTGGAAGATGAGATCCTCGTAGTTCTTTGGGTCCTGACCTTTCTGGCTGCTGTGGATTTGATCTTCAATATATTTGGCCATGAACCTAGAGCATGGCAAAGTGAAGGCATTTTAAACATATTTATTATGAAAAATGTTCGTTTGAGATTGTTTAAATTACCTCTCCAGTATTTCGATGGCCTGATATCCAACCACAGGGTTCAGTCCCAGCTCCTCACAAAGACGAAATACACACTCTGTGGACCGAATAGATGAGGGTGAACAAAAAACTATTAATGTAATAGGACAATGTTTTGGATATGACGTTATAGTGCTTTTATGTAAGCTCAAGCGTATTTGTTGGATTTTTCTCATAATTACTTGCAAATGTATTTATTTCTGTTAAAAACAAGGGAATAAAATAATTTGAATTACTTCAATATTTTGCGATTTAAGACAGCCTTTTGACATCTACTTTGTAAATTATTTAACTATAGCCTACTTAGCAAAAAACTGCTCATATTTTTATTTATACAGACTCAATAACCCTCTTAATAAAATAGGGGTGTGTTGATAAATGAACACATATCTCTAAAATTCAACTAAAACTCCGTAACTTTGATGAGTTTCCAGGCTGCAGCAAAATAAAAGTCCCTCTTCCGGCAATAATTTGACAAGAACACTTATCGGACAATTAAAATATATCTAGGCAGACTACTGAATCACGTTACGAACATTGTTTATAAATATGTTAATAATTATAACATATTACAGTGTGCAACATGATATTATTGTTATCTGATAACGTTACTTATACCGTGGTGCTCCTACTACAATACTTTCTGGTCAGTGTCTGAAAGCAGTGTGCTAGTTTGAGGCCAACACACACTCACCCACTATTCTCCTTTCTTTGAGATACCCACAGTACTCTGGAACATTCTCCAAGTTGGATTTGTTTCTCTTGTTTAGGTTGGACAGAATGTCGGTCAAAATGTCAAACGACACCAATCCAAATCTCAGGTTTCTCTGTTCCTTTGTGGGCAATGAAAACATAGTTGGCGCCATTTGTTCGTAAAGATTTTTTTAGACACAATAAAACACATCGATTTCTACCAAGTGTAGCGCTTTAACTGAGAGAGCCACATTTGACATAATTTATATATTCATATACCAAAATATAATGATTTAAAACTATAATTCTGAGATTTTATAACAGACACACGAATATAAAATTAGAAAGTGATTTTAATAAAATCATTGTTTGTTTTCTTCGAAATTCCTTCAATTACCATAACGACGGTGTGATTTGTCCGTTCTGAGTAGCGCTGGTAGCGTTGAGAAAAGTATCACGATCCACGAGACAACGCCATCAACGCGTTGTTTTAAAAGTGCCCCGGACAACGTTTTCTTCTAAATAAATTTCTTCCAGGGCTGTGGTTCTATAAAGGCCCAAATACAATATGCAAGAATACAATAAATGTAACAAAACTACGTTCACTAAAGTACTTAATACCGTATTATGCACCTATACCTATCTACATAGACAGTAAAAGGATCTACACATGTGCCTTTTCATGGACTAACTTTAGGTGGTTTACAAAAAAATGGGGCAAGATGAATGAAAAAATGAAAAACAAATTAAATTATTTAAATGAAGTTATTACAAAATACAGTTACTAAATAATAAAAAAAAGCTAATAATATTAATAATAATCAAAAACTGCTCATAAGAGTGGGCGTGTTTGACTTGTTTTGACTCTGGTTGGTGGAATTTTCTGCACAGCATCATGGGTAATGTAGTTTTTCACAACGAATTCAGATGTTAAACATTATTATTTTAAAACTAAGTAGAAACAATGCGGGCTGACGACTTCAACAGAAGCAAAAACTACCAATTATCAACCTCGTTGCTCAGAGTAGGTCTCACTTTAAAGGTTTATAAGTTATTGTTAAAAATCAAATTTCCCTGTGGAGAAAATGATTTCACTTCCGGAACCGAGAAGTAGGCTCAGTTTATTTTTATATATATTATTTAAGGTAACAGCCAACAATCTTTCAGATGCCACAGATTAATTCATTAACTTATTCATTTATTTAAAATATATTGTTTATTATTTTATTTTATTGGGCCCTAAAATTCCCTTGCAACGATAATGCCTTTTGTTATTTGAAAAGGTTTAGCCTAGTTTTTTTTTTTTTTAAAGATCACAAACGTTTACAGTCTATGATCACAACAGAATATGACTATAGCCTGCCTGTTACGCAAACTGAACTTGTGTAATTAAATTCCTTTAGCAGACAATATTTAAAAAAAAAAAAAAACCTTTCGATTTTTTAAAAACTTTACAGACTCGAGTTCTCCCCACTCGAGTGCCGGGGGAAATGCGCAAAAGAGGCGCACCATTGACGTGTCAAGTAACCTCGAGCTACGTCACAACACAGCGCTTCAAACATGGCAGACAAGAGTAGTCAAGGGGACCTCAAACCTGAAGCCCAGTTTGCAAAGAGAATATACCCTGCAAAGGATCAGCTGACGAGGGAACAGATGCAGTTCATCCGACAAGTGGAGCTGGAGCAATGGAAGAAGAAAGCAGGCCGGCTCCGGGGCCGAAACGTTGCGACAGCACTCGGCATCGGCGCGGTAGTGCTCGGCATCTGTATCCTTTACTACTCTGTTATGTCAGACAGTACACAAGGTTATGTCAGTGCCAGGCTGTCACAGTGCGTTACTTCTACCAGATGAGCTAGATGATTATATTGGTCGCCTATAACGAATGATAGTATTATTAGGTCTTAGATATCTGCACGTTGTGCGTTATTACATGATCAACCAATGTGACATAAGTGCTGATGTCATGATGAGAAATGCTTCATCAAACTCGTCACATGATAAGTCAGACACTTGAATATGTTATTAATCTTCTGTGGTTGTTATTAACTTACGAGATACCCTTGTGCTCTTTCAGCCAGTCGAAAAACGCACCGAACCCCGGCGTTTTAAAATTAAATTAATATCGCTGTAAAAAAAAAAAAAAAAAGTTTCTGCCTTAATTTTTTTTTGAGTATAATCACCTTGGATGCTAAGTCGTTTCAACTTAAATTACAAATAAATTGACTTAATTAGTTGAATCTTGTTTTAATTAAAAAAAGTTAGGCTATACATTTATTAAAGGAATGTAAAAACACATATATTTTCATAACTTATGAATCATTTTTGGATTGTTTAGTGTACTTGTTTTATGTTATACTTTCATTTTAAAAGTTTTTATTTTGTGTCGATTTCATAGTACTAAACAATATTAAGGCTACCTCTAAATCATGCAACATATATTTCTTTTTAAAATAATAAAAATCATAGAAAAGCTATTTATACTATTTTTCAATGAATGGAGTATTTAAACCCAGAGCAAAGGAAAATGAAAGCATTTTGTTAATCTTATTCAATCATACAATTGAATAAAATCTAAATGTTTATTTTCTGCATCTATAAAGTATAAAACTAAAATATAAACGTTTTGCATATTCGTATAATAGTTGTTTACATAATATAGTGTGTGTGTGTGTGTGTGTGTGTACTGTACACACACACACACACACAGATAGACATGTGTGTATATAAATAAATATGTGTGTGTGTGGTTATGTATGTACATGTAGTCTCTTTCGCTTATCTAAGCTGCATTTATTTAATCAAAAACAGAAAAAAACAGTAATATCATTACATTTTAAAACAATGGTTTTCTATTTGAATATACTTTCAAATATATTTATTCTTGTGATCAAAGCTGAATTTTCAGTCTCCAGTGTAACATGATCCTTCAGAAATCATTCTAATATGATGATTTATTATCAATATCAATTATCAAATTATTATATAGATATCAATTATCAAACGTGAAACTTTTCAGGATTCTTTGGTGAATGAAAAGTTTAAAACAAATAAAGAAGAAAAGAACAACATTTATTTTCAAATAGAAATCTTTTGTAACAATATACACTATACCATTCAAAAGTTTGGAGTCAGTCATTTTTTCTCTTTTTTTGAAAGAAATTAATACTTTTAATCGGCAATGATGTTATAAATTAATCTAAAGTGACAGTTTATATTGTTATACAAGATTTCTATTTTGAATAAATGCTGTTCTTTTTAACTTTTTATTAATCGATGAATCCTAAAAAAAAAAGAATCACACCGCTAAGGGTGTGAAACGATTCTAAGGGCCCCAGACACACACACACACACACACATACACAAACAATATATATATATATATATATACATACATATAATTTAATATATATGTATATACACACATATATATATATATCATGTAAACAACAACTTGCATGTTAGATGTGATTAATCACAATTAATCGATTTGACAGCAGCACTAAATATGAATAAAATTGTTACATCATTCCAGTATGAACTGAACTCTCCAGATCTGTGTGTGACGTTTCCCTTAACCAGCCGTCCTCAGATGGATACACCTTCTACTCAGTATCCCAAGAAAGAATAATGGATGAAATCGACGAAGAAGCAAAAGCACGAGCTCCAAAGACCGGCGCGAACTGAGTGAAGCGACTCTCCCTTCATGAACTGTCTGTGTTGAACACAGATGCGCGCGCCGCCAGAGGGCGCCACATCCAATCAAATCACTGTATTCTGTTGGACACGAGACTCGACGAGGAGGAAGAATCCTTCGTTTGTCAAGACAGTTGTTCATCATTTCTATTCGTGTTCGTGGAATATTATTTATGCTTTATGAATACTACAGTAATTCTACTGGTCATCTTGCTTTGAGTGTAAATACATTCAGAATCAGTGAGTTTCATTGAAATAACAGCCACCCTTTGATTTGCCTTTTTTTAAAAAAAATAAATAAATAAACATGTCCTAAATAATACTGCTGTGTTTAAAATGAATACTCGACGAACATTCATCTGTTTTTATAGCTATTTATTGACTTTAAATGTACAAATATGATTCAGAATATAATAATCATCATAAGATAGAGAAGGCACAGCATGGCAGTGTTGCATTGCACATTGAAGCGAGAGCATGAAGTCACATTGATCTCAATCTGAAACACATTGTCTGTGTTTGTGTCTGTAACTGATTTCGATGCACATATGGGCATTCATATGATTTTTCACAGTTTTGAACGAGCCATGAATGGATGTTTTTTTTTGGGTTGTCATATTGCATATTTAGCAGGCATGTGTTTGAAACTGAAAAAGTGCAATACAATAATGACAGAAATCCACCCTAAAGTATGAAGCTAAGTGTTTATACTTCATAAAATTAGCTATTAATGAATGTTTACATTCAGAATTCCTCTTTACATCATGCAAGTAGATGTGTCTCATAAAACAAACAGATTTCACCAAATATTGTACATGTTTAAACACTAAGAAAGCATAAATGTTGAAACTTTGGGCTCAGTGAGAACTGTTAATATTACAATGAATGCACTTTAATTGACTGCTCTTTGTAAACATCAAAAATCAATCATTTTTTAATGACTCTATCCTACAGTCCTAGATGGGACTGAAACGTAAGCCAAAGTGCAGTGTGCATATCATTTACACTTTATGGCTGACATTTGCTTTGATTTCTGGTGCACTTATTAAGTCTGGAAAAAAAAAGTATAATATATAAGTAAATGTACAAAAGCTTCAAGGTAAAATACAAAATATATATATTTAGCCCACCCACCCTCAATCTGTTTTATTTGTATTCACATTTAAACTATTATGATAAAGCAGACCCTATCAGGGGATAGCAGAAATACGTCCGCACCGGATCTACTGAGTTCACGGAGACTGCTGCGATTCTTGCGTGGTGATCTGGTGTTTCTACAGCGCGAACAGAAACAGCAGGGCATCTGTTGACTCAGATGTTTGCCCGTTCAGCAGGTTTCAGAAAAGTGCAAAAGAGAGAGTTAGGAATCACCATCAGTGCAGAGTCCCGCCAAACCCTCGGCTCTTCACAGAAACATCCCGCATGTCAGTCACAGATGGATGAGGTAGTCGGATATAGTCCCGCCAATGTACCGGGATTCTCACTGAAGGGAAAACAGAAAAGAGAAACGTTATTCAGAATGGATGAAAAGAATATACTGTCAGTGTTTCTTGGGTTCGGCTTTAAGGCGAGACACCCCTGGTGAATTTATGAAAAGCCAGGATGCCCAAAATCTTAAAATTGACAGTTCTTGCATGTAGTGTCTTGCCTTAAAGGGTTAATTCACCCAAAAATGAAAATGATGTCATTAATGACTCTCCCTCATGTCGTCCCAAGCCCGTCAGACCTCTGTTCATTTCCAGAACACAGTTTAAAGGAGTAGTTCACTTTTCAAAAAACTTTTGCTGATAATTTTACTCACCCCATGTCATCCAAGATGTCCATGTCTGTCTTTCTTCAGTCGAAAAGAAATTAAGGTCTTTGATGAAAACATTCCAGGATTTTCTCCATATAATGGACTTCAATGGGAACCAAACGGTTCAAGGTCAAAAAGACACTTTCAGTGCAAACTGCTAGCTGTTCAAATGGCTTTAAATGACTCCAGACGATGAATAAGGGTCTTATCAAGCGAAACGATCGCTCATTTAATAAATAAATAACAAAGTTTAAGTTTTATAAGCTCAAATGGTCACCTTGCTCTGTTCTGTGATGAGTGTTCGTGACTCTCCTGTTCAAAATGAACGAATCTTTTTCGTTCGTTGAATAAACCAAATGACTCGGAAAAAGATTTGTTCATTTTGATATACGAGTTCGAAAAGGAAAGTCACGAACGCGCATCACAGAACAGAGCAAGGCGAGCATTTGAGCTTATAAAACGTAAACTTTTTTTATTTTTAGATGAGCGATCATTTCGCTTGACGCGAAGCGTAGGTGTCTTTGTTTCCGCAGTATTTTCAATTTTGATATTTTTAGGTCAAACCGTTCTTGTCTGTCAGTCATATAATGGAGGTCTATGGTCACCACCTCAAAGAGCATGCACAGAGAAGTCCAAATTAAACATGATTTAATGACTCGTAAATGTAAGTACACATTGATGGCCTAAGACACGAAACGAGCGGTTTGTGTGAGAAAACGAACAGTATTTATATCGTTTTTACCTCTTGTAACCACAGCCACGTCTATGGGCGATCTGAGGACGAGGGCGCATCGGTCTGTGCAAGCGCCGGAAAGTGCCGGAAGTGAACTTTCTCGCGGTTGCGGAAAAAAAACAACGTTGTCTGTTGATATAAAAATTGAAATCGTCTTCCATTGCGATTTCCTGTATATCTAAATATGTTTAGATCTTCACAGTGAAGGGTAACACTTCAGAAATCTCTGTGTAAACAATGAGTGACGTACACGCACGAGAGATCACTTTTTTTTCACTGCTCGTTTCGTGTCTTAGGCCATCAATGTGTACTTACATTTACGAGTCATTAAATCATGTTTAATTCGGACTTCTCTGTGCATGCTCTTTGAGGTGGTGACCATAGACCTCCATTATATGACTGACAGACAAGAACGGTTTGACCTAAAAATATCAAAATTGAATCTTGGATGCCCTTGAGCTAAGCTAAAACATATCAAAAATTAATTTCAAAGTGAACTATCCCTTTAAGCCCGGTGCTGAATGTAATGCATCATACCATTCTAGTGAAATCCGCAGCGAAAGTCACTCCTTTAGCCGGCCGGGAATCCTCCTGGGAACTGCTGCTACTGTTGCCGCTCAGAGAGTTCTTCCTCATGATCCCTGTGGGCCAATCAGAGCACAGCAAGATGTTCAACATTTCATTTGCTCATTTACTGGTTTCATTTAATTAAACAATTGCTTATTCTGCCCCAGTTAAAACCACTAATACGGCTCTGTACTAAAAGCTAGTGCGCTGTCTATGAAGAGAAGAAATTTTCTTTTGGCTAAATCTTTGCAGGGAAGGAAATCCCATCACTTATTCAACAACAAAACGTATAGATGACTTGATAACAATAGTTAACTACATCAGTTAACAAGAACTAAAGCACTTATTAATCATAGAGAAATTTGAAATATGATGATTATAAACAATATTATTTTAAAAACTACTTTACAATAAAGTGACAATATTTCTTAACACAAACTAACAGTGAAAAATATTTCTAAAGCATTTATTAATCTTAGGTCATTTTAATTTCAATATTGCCTAGTTTATTATTTAAATCAAACATTTTTTATATTATTTAAAGGTGCAGTGTGTGATTTTTAGTGATATCTACGGTAGAAAGGGGGCAAACAGCAAGGCAGACCACTAGGTTTTGGAAAAGTTTAACTATAATGATTATGGTTCAAATCTGCATATAAAAAAGGCTAAATCAGCTGAACCTGCTAAAGGCAGAATGTCGAGTCTCTGGAGGCTGTTTCTGCGGGACGATGGGAAGTTTCCTGCTTTAGACATGCGGCGCTGGCGGCTGGAGAGCATGACTGCTGGAGACACTATACAGGGAGGAGGAATCTTGCCCATCTTACAGTACAGCTCCTCTATCTCTCGCTTCTGCAGCGCCTGGAGAGACTGAACCTCACACAGATGCCTGAGCGGGACAGAGAGAGACAGGAATTAGGGAATGACATCATAATCACGGTTATTCTCAGTCAGTACTGTATTTTACACGATTAGGAGTGGGTGTTATGACCAAACTCTTTTATAAACCTATAGTCATTTTTTTCATGATAGTGAATTATTTCCAGCAAAGTATATGGTAACACTTTACTTAAAGCCTTTATATATAATGCATATATAATGCAAGTATTTAGTGCATTAATTATGCATTGCAATGCACCTTATAGTGCATTGTATGATCTCATGAATAATTCTAACCACATTTATAACACATTATAATTCTTTTGTTAGGTATTTCAAAAGTATAACGCATTAAAACTAGGGCTGTGCAACGATTAATTGCGATTAATTGTATCCAAAATAAAAGTTTGTGTTTACATAATATATTTGTGTGCTGTGTGTAATTATTTTGTATATATAAATATATATGCATGCATGTATAAGAAAATATGTTATTCATATATAAAATATTTATATTTATATATAATATAGATTATTTATTTATATGTGTACAGTATTTACGTGCAAATATTTCTTAAATATATACATGCATTTATATATACAAAATAATTATAGACAGCACACACAACACATATATATTATGCAAACACAAACTTTTATTTTGGATGCGATTAATCGCAATTAATCTTTGCACAGCCCTAATTATAACACAACAAACAACCAATTTCAGATGTAAAAAGAAATTTGAGAATTTTATAATGCATTTAAACTTTGGTTACAATGCATTATAATGTACATTAAGAATATATATATATATATATATATATTAGATACCAGTGAAATCCCACAAGCAGAAATGAATACTAACTAATGTATGTAAAAAATGTCCTCAAACAATTATTGAATAAAGTAATACAACATTCAGTAATAAAATAAAAAAGAAAGAAATGACAAAAAAATAGGACAGAACTACAACAGAAAATAGATACCAATGAAATAAAAGTATCGAAAGTATCGGCTTTCGAAAAGTATAGAATTCTTTCTACTTTAAACAAATTTAATAAATCAAATGTATAAAATAAAACACTGCATAGACTCTACTACATGAATTAAATATTTATTCTAAAGTATTACTATTAAAGTTATTCAGTCAAGAGCAGTGAGTGTTTTCTTTTTCTTACGTTGTTTGATTAATATGAAGAACAGACATGGACATCAGCAGGGACAGAATATTAGACTATATGCATTATGAACTCGTTTTAATATCAATCACGACCCAACTGCATATTACAACAGTAACAGAATATGATCTGACTGATTTGGATGTTTATGGAGCGGTGAAAGCACACTGCTTTAAAAGGAAAGAAACTGAATACTGACGATGTTAACCCATTTAGGCCTAAAACGCCTGCTAAAAAAGGCCTTTTTATGCCTGTAAGTACTTTTCTATAAACCCCCTCTCAAAAGGTTTTCCAGAAATATTTGCCAAAATTTGTAAAAGCTTACTAAAATCATAATTTCTCAGATAAAATCATGTAATGAAAAGCCGACGGCGCTCGAAATGATGCGGACACGTTTGCCAGGCTTAATAATGACTACGCACAGATACGCGATCCGGTCTTAAAGGTAAACACACACAAATGAGTGATCCGGTTTTAATTGGTTAATGGCACAGGTGAAATTACACTATATTTAGCACAAACAGGGCTACCATAATATGTGAGCAACATGTATGTACATGTTTGTATTTTTGAGAGAATATTGTTTATGCGTGGTTATTGAAAAAACTAAAAATGAAAGTATAGAACAATTCTCAGTAGTCTATAGTCTTACTAGTGAAGGAGCGAAAGTGAATGAACACAGCGTGCGAGCGTCTGTCTGTGCGCGCATTTAATATTTAAACAGTCTTTGTGCAGTTTACAGACACTATTCAATAATGCGATTAGAACAAAGCACTTAAGAATAAATGACTTACATCAGCTGAATCGGTGCTCCTCGAAATGAAACAGGTAACTGAGGTAACTTTTCCAGGATTATTATGACTGTATTATTCCTCACAGCGCAGCAACACGAGGTAAGGGTAGATTTGTGATAAACTGGATGTTTTATCCAGCTGATGTGGGTGTTTTCATGGCTTGCCTCAACATTAGCGTTTGAATAGCGCACGCTCTCAGTGGGCGGGGTCACATTAACAACGTCATATGCTATAATTAGGTGAAAGGAAAAAGACTGAAGTCTCTCTCTTTTCATACAGATTACATCAACCTAAAATAGTTGTTTTTTTTATATAAATTACTTAATTTAACCCTTGTGCTGCATTAGATTTTTAACACCGTTGAGTGCATTAAGGACCAAAAATGGCCACATATTAAACATTGCCTAAAATATTATATATTATTATTATTTTCCACTTTTACCAAGTTAAATCTTTTAACCAGAATCAGTCCTCATCATAACTACCAAAAATGTATTCAATTTCAGGATTTTAACCCTTTAATTACCAGTTTTGTTTGCGAAACCATCGATTTGTATAAGAGGAAAAAACACAAAAATTCAATTATTTTCAATAAACTAAATGCAAAGAGAAAACTTTAGATTTGGATTATCACAGTCCCACTTTGCAAAAAATCCCACTTAGCGCGTTAGAGACCAAAAATGGCCACCTATTAAACATTGCCTATTGCCTAAAATAAGGTGCATTTCCACCCATAGGGAATAAATATGTAGTGACGTCATCTGGTGGAATACACTATATAATGCAAATATAATGCTTTTGCTTCAAAATGAAAGGGTGTTTGTGCAAAAATCATGTTTCATGTATTACTGACAGCCTCAGATTTAAACAACGTTTTAATGGGTTTCAATGGGCCATTTTTGGTCTTTATGGTGCTGAGTGTTACTATTTGATCTACACAGTGTGTGTTATACATATTTTGCAAAATGGGATCACATTTTTTACATGTATCCAAAAAGTCACAATTTTGCCAAATTTCATACCATTTGCATTAAAACAGCCAAAATGGTCAAAGAAATTAAACTGCAAAAGACCAAAAATGTCCCTAATGCAGCATAAGGGTTAAAAGAAGAGAATTTCAGCTTCATAAAGAGAAATATTTCGTGTAAAGAGTTACAGTTCATTTTTCAGATGCGTTTCAGAAAGATTTTTATGGAGACAGAGTGAGCTCAAAGCGCATCCTTTTTATTTTATTAATTTTACTAAAACACAAGGTTTTGATGTTAATTAGAGTGTAAACACAAAAAAGACCCTCTATAGTTTATAATCATGTATTGATTTTATTTAAGTATATGACCATTAATGACGGAGTATTTTAAGTCTATGTTGCAGCTATGTGGAAAAAAAAAAAAAAAAAACGATCAAAACGCGGGATCGTAATTTTGATCCCCAGGTGTTTTAATAATCATTGGAAGCCAAAATCGAAACTAAAATTCAATGAATCGCACAGCCCTGAGAGAAATACAATAAAACACAGAAGTTTGAAAGTGCCTTACTTCTCCCTCAGCTCCTGTAGCTCCCCCCACATCTCGTCATCCTCGCTCTCTGATTCGTCGCTGCTCAGGTAGGAGGAGCTTCGCGTGTAGCTCATCCACAGGTTGTGGAGAGGAAAAGGAGGACTGGTCGTGTTTCCATCCCTCCCGTCTGTGTCCAGAGCCACAGAAAAACCACTGTCCACCGACGTTCCCAACAGACCCGGCCCACAATCCACCCTGAGCCCCTTCTTCCTCCTGTGTTTCTTATCCAGAGCACTCTCATCACCATCATCATCATCATTATCCTCCTCTTGCTGATCTTTTCCATTTCTCCCCGTCTCAGGCTGGGCAGGAGGACTCAGATCACGCCGAGCATCACAGGAAGGAGGAACGGACAGGTTTTTCACTGGATTTGGAGCTAGAAACGAGCACGCGGGCGGGACGAGCCGAGGGACGACAGGTGGAGGAGGTTGAGTCTCTGAGTGCCTGGCGGGAGCAGGAATCTCTTTACTGGGGGACACTTGAAAACGGCCCACTGTCACAGTCGACTTCGGCTCTGTAAGAAAAACGGAGTTATGGGTAAGGTGTTTATTCTCTCAAGCATGATGAGGTTAGCATGATTGTCACATTACAGTCTTTTTAATCCTCTGATGGTTGAAAAAATTGTACATTTTGAATTTTTTAATTGTTTTCTTTCATCGGAATGTCGAAAATCTGTTTCAAAATCACTTTCTATATGAACACACACAAAAATGGTCCTAAAAACGGTCAGTTACCAAATGAATTACAAAAAAATATCTACAAATTAGCCATGATAAAATAGTCTTTGATGATGTCTTAAAGGAGTAGTTACCTATTAAAAAACTTTTGCTGATAATTTACTCACCCCCATGTCATCCAAGATGTCCATGTCTTTCTTTCTTCAGTCGAAAAGAAATTAAGGTTTTTTGATGAAAATATCCCAGGATTTTGTCCATATAATGGACTTCAATGGGAACCAAACGGTTCAAGGTCCAAAAGACAGTTTCAGTGCAAACTGTTCAAAGGGCTTTAAACGACTCCAGACGATGAATGAGGGTCTTATTTAGGACCCTTCGAGTCGTGACTCGAAAAAAGATTTGTTCATTTTGATGGACGAGTTCGAACAGGAGAGTCACGAATGTGCACCACAGAACAGAGCAAGGCGAGCATTTGAGCTTATAAAACTTAAACATTGTTATTTATTTTTTAAATGAGCGATCGTTTCGCTTGATAAGACCCTTATTCATTGTCTGGTGTCGTTTAAAGCCCTTTGAAGCTGTACTGAAACTCTCTTTTGGACCTTGAACCGTTTGGTTCCCATTGAAGTCCATAATATGGAGAAAATCCTGGAATGTTTTCATCAAAAACCTTAATTTCTTTTCAACTGAAGAAAGAAAGACATGGACATCTTGGATGACATGAGGGTGAGTAAATTATCAGCAAAAGTGAACTACTTTAATATAAATTTAAGATTTAATATAGAATTAAGATTTCATTATTTTAATTTTGTCTGTATTGATTGAAAAAAAAATATATTTTTTTTTACAATATTTGGATTACTTAATTATTAGCATAATTTAGAGTTGAATATTACAAAATTACAAAATATTATAATATAATAATGTCATAATATTACAGAATAAATATTATTGAAACAGAAAATAGTACATTATTTCGTTGAACAAACATACTTATTGTCTGGTTTGTTTTTCTGGTTATCGCACACAAGTGTGAGCTCTGAAGGTTTCAATTTTGTGTAAAAATGTCCAATAATGAGTCAAAGAAAGAGTATTTTGTCACACAGGAAATTAAAGACCCAGTCGAGAGCATTGCATTGTGGGATACAGTATTCTGCAGTGTGGTTCGGCAACATACTGCCCAATATGTCAAAAGTACTAGGTCATTAAACTCTATGTATTTGAATGTGCATACTATGAACAGTATAGTTTACATACGGTACAAACTAATGAACCAGAATAATATCAGCCAGAAAATATATTTCCATGTGATTTTACTCCAATGTTTCAGAGCTTCAAATACTTCAAAAAACGTAACAGAAAGTTTGAAACTTTATGTAGTCTCTCTTTATCAAAATATTTACTTTTTTAGTATTTTTAATTCCTTTCATGTATACTGGCTATGTGATTGTCTTGACCCCTGCTCTTTTTTTTCCCTAAATCCATAAATGGAAGTGTCTTACAGTTTTGTTTGTTCTGTACATAATGCAAATAAAAAAAAAGAATATCAGCCAGAAAAATAACAAATTTTACTTTGTCATCGACTGCCAAGAGTTAAAATATTTTATATAAATTTGAATTAAACTGCACAATAATATTTACTTCATGTGACACAATGCAATACAAAAATGGTAAATTCATGACAGAATTTACTGTATACTGTAATATTCAGGAAGTATTATGTTTATATTCCATTCCGAACACAGCCAAAATAGCTGCGGTTTGAGGAACCCATAAAACCTGTGGACCAAGGGAAAAAAAAACAAAAAAAAAAACACTTTGGTTGCGCAAGAACTCCGCAGGCATATTTAATAGGTGTCCACAATCCCTCTGTGAGTCCAAGACCATATAACCATGCATTTAGTTCTGCAGAATTATAAAACCACAATCTGTAAGAAGGAAGCCCTATACGTGTGGCAGGTAGTGTGTTACGTGTGTTTATGTTCAGGGCTCAGTATCTTACCAGATGGTGAAGAGATTTCTTGGCACTGTGAAGTTCTGGTACTCTCTCCTGACACCAGAGGAGACAATGATCTGGGACTGGATGACGACACCTTGGAGAGAAATACTGTTTCATTCAGGAACACTTCCACATCTGGGTTTCATACACATTAGTAATGTTAGCTATTGACATTCAGTGATATAAAACGTGCTCTGAACAATGGAAACAAATACGGTCATAACTGTTGCTCAATGTTAAGAGCAGAGGTCACCAATGTGCATGATCAAGATCCAGATCGGCCCACCCAGACCGTGAATTATTTACCATATATAAATACATATATATTTATAACATTAAACATATGATATATATATATAAAATACAATTGTAGTTGTATTATTAATGAAATAATAATTGAAAGTGATTATTTTACTTTTTTAGTATTTATATAATTAAATAAATTGCATTTTAAATAAATGCAATAAATTATGTTATTTATTAAATTAAAATAATAAATGTGTAAATTATGTATTATTTGTTGTATTTTTACAATGTGTTGCAAAAAATGTAAGATACATTTTCCTGAAACGCAAATTGTGTTTTATTTTGGGACCACTGATTGATCCGAATGTTGCTGGGATAGAAAAATATTTTTTTTTCTGATAAAACTGCAATAGTGAAAAATAGTTTTTTGATAAAATTAAACGGTGATTCAAAAAAGCCCAATTTTGCAGTGCTTGTTTGTAGAGCTGCACAATTTGGCCAAAACATGTGTGATTATGTATCAATATGGCTAATTTGTCTATGAAAAAAGTATATAATATATATATATAATACAAAATATAATAATTATTTATTATTTTTATTTTATTTTTATATATGTCTTCATTTCTTCTACAAACCACTGGGAGCCCTAAAAGCTTTTCTTTAGTCAACAAAAGCCAGTTTATAAGCACGTCTTATTACAAGTATGGAAAGATGGTTGGTGCATGTTACAATATGTTTATATATACACCCCTCACATTTCAGCAAACATTTTAGTATATCTTCTCAAGGAACAATACTATAGAAATTAAACTTGGATATATTTTAGAGTAGTCACTGTCCTCTGAAAATAACTCAACACACAGCCATTATTGTCAAAATAGCTGGCAACAAAAGTGAGTACACCCTAAGTGATAATACGTCATTTGACCATTCAAAGACACGTCCTATTCATCATGTTCATGTTTTTGTCTGCTTGACAGGACCATACAAATGTGTGTATCGTGTATTAGAGCAGTTCAAATTTGTGCTTTGAGTTCAATCTCTCATTCTGAGCCCTGGATGTTCAACATGGCACTTCAGGGCAAAGAACTCTCTAAGGGTTTGAGAATTACAATTGTAGCTGTCCACAAAGTTGGCCTAGACTATAAGAAGATTGTAAACACCCTGAAACTGAGTGACAGTACAGGCCAGGGTCACACAGAGGCTTTCAGACGGGTTTCACTCGTAACAGACCTCTCGAGGGTCAATCTAAGAGTCCTCGTTCTGAGCGTCAGGTGCAGAAATTGGCTTCAAAACACAGACGCATGAGTGCAGCTAGCATTGCTTTAGCTTGTCAGTGCTCAGACCATTCGCCGCACACTTGCAAAAGTCGGTTTGCATGGCCGTCGTCCCAGAAGGAAGCCAGATTGGAGCCAAATTTGGAAGATTTGGAAGCCAAAACGTGCCAGATTTATTCAAATATGCATTAAATATTGAAGAACATTAAGATTATAATGCATATGTAATATGGTGTATATATTTAGCAAAATGCTCCTCTCTAGAGTAATTTTTTCTAGTGACTAACAAGTTTATGTGGGTTTTCTGAGGTAAATATGACGATACATGACATTGATGATTACAAGCTGTTTAACTGACGTCTTTCCACGGTTGAAACGCTGATTGAGCGAATCAATGTGACATGATACGGATTTCGATAAGTTGTACTCTATCTTTTAACACACTTTCAAATGCTCATTCGTGTTTATTTCGCGCTGTGACTGGTATTATTAACCCGGAAGAGGGATCAGCGCTGCTGCTTCTCTTGAGCTGTGCCAGAGCGATCTCACGCCACAGCACCAAAACACTATTTATGTTTTTGAATTTCTAAAGAAAATGGACCTAATTTGAAAATTGAGACTTTGTTTCATATCAATAGCAACAAAGGACAAAGATTATTGCGATTTTTTCCGCGATACATTCTTCCACTCATTCAAATGAAACAGGATGACTAATCGATTCTTGAGATTTAAGAATCGATATCGGTTCGTAAAAATGAGAATCGATTAATATCGAGAAATCGATATTTATTACCCAGCCCTATTAAATCTCCTAAATCTCTGACCCGTCGTCGTCTTCATCATCTAATTTTTTATCGCTCTACATATAAACCACGCCTTAAATATGAAAAAATGAACGTGTGGTTTCCAGACCACGTCTCATTCTCAATGATACTTGGTCTGGAGTTAGCCAGGCTAACCTTCGATATTTAATAATTGCACTGTGCCATATCACAATTTCAGTGTTATTTAAATTAATTGTACCGACTGGACTTCTTTATTTGGTTAACTGGTGAAGAGGGGAATGGCTTACTCTGCTATCTGGGCTCGCTCGTGGAGAAGACGACAGTCCCAATGAAGACCCGGGGCTGCTCCGCTGCTCGAGTAAGTGCCTGGGGAAAGCGGGTCTGTATCCGTGAGGATATTCCTTAGAGGATTCCTGTGCATTCAGCATTCCCTCTTGAGACGCTGTCTGCTGGGCGGACATGGAAACGCCACTGGGTGAAGTAGATGTCGGAAACGTTTGGGAAGGTGGCGACATCACACTGTCTCGAAACTGAGATTCCATGCTCTGGTAATACTCGGCCATCCCTGGAGATTGAGGATACTGGGGCGCATACATCGTGGGATAACCAGGCCGGAAACCCGGCATGGCCTGAACCAGGTTCGGTGAGGGCATGAAGGAATGTGCCATGCTCATTGCCATAGACAGCACATTAGCCAGGGAAAACAGAGGCTGACTGTGAGACGGCCACATGGCCTGCGCGTGAGCCGGAGACATCAGGTTGACGTCGGAAACGGGACTTGAGACGTCTGAGGAGAGCGGGCTGGGGGAGCCCGGGCCGGACGCAGGGGACGAGAGGGAGTATGACGGACTGCTGTGCATACGGGACAGAGGAGTGTGGCTGGGATTGGGGGAGCCGGGGTGAGGCGGGTACGGGAAGGGGAAGTGGGTTGGGTTGTTCATGTACGAGGGCATGTACTGCTGAACGTGAGGTAGGTTGGAATGAGGCATTCTGGGATCAGAAGGGTAGGCTGAGGCTGATGGAACGTGATGAGGATGAGAACCTGGGAAATGACAAAGATATTAGTCAGATGGTAGTGCAGAGTGAGATTTTCTACTTTACAGTATATATTTATCTTTCTTTTTTTAAAGGCAGTGACCAGTGAGAGGTAAGTGTTCATGCTGTCTTAAAAATGTACGTTTATTCAACTCAAATATCCAAGTTCTAACAAGCTGACTAAACTTAAAATTTTAAGACAACACATTTTTTTTCACGGAAATTGATTTTTAGTGTTTTGTGTGTTTTATTTTTAAAGGGATACTCCACTTTTTTTGGAAATAGGCTCATTTTACAACTCCCCCAGAGTTAAACAGTTGAGTTTTACCATTTTCAAATCCATTCAGGCGATTTTCTGATATTCTGATACCGTTTCTGAGACCAGAAACTGTCTGGTTACTGATATTCTTCTAAATATCGGAAAATCGGCTGAATACATCTGAAAACTGAAAAAGTCAACTGTTTAACTCTGGGGGAGTTGTAAAATGAGCCTATTTCCAAAAAAGTGGAGTATCCCTTTAATTCATTTTGACTAAATGGTATAGAGTTTTAATATTTGCTATTTATCAAAATGAATAAGGTAAATCTTCTAAAAGCTGCAAGAGATTCAGAATCACTAAAAGAGAACTCCGGCGCAAAATGAACCTTTGGTATAATTACCCATTGGTACCTAGTCGACCGTTCTTTGGGATTTGTTTTCATGATAATTGAAATGTAAAGTGTTTTATCTCTAAAAACTGTTTAGCGTATAATGCTAGTAATGGGGGCATATAATAAGTAAAGAGAAATCGCTAGTTAATACCACTAACAAGGCTCAAAATAGACATAACATAATGAGGGTCCCTGCATGCAAAACGAAGCGTTGAGAACTTTGTAAGTGTACAGACCGTTTAAATTCAAATTCAAATTCAAATTAGCTTTATTGGCATGATTGTGTAAAATAGCACAATATTCCCAAAGCAATAGACACATAGAAACATATAGATAAATACAAATGAACAGTAATAATAATAATAATAATAAAATAATTTAAAAAAAAGCAAATAATCAAAATAATTATTATCTGAAAATTTGTACAATTATTTATCCATCTGAGGTTCCACTGGTTGTCCTCATTTAATGGCATGAGGAGATATATTTTGCGGCAATTATTTCCATTTAATAAGAAGATATTTTATAAAGACTTCGTGTACACAGGCGGCGCCATCTTTGGAAAATAGTCTCGACAAGTCGAACCACGAACGACGTGCCAAGTGAGCTGAACTGTATGAAGTTCAGCGAACTTCTGAACTGGATGAACGGTGTTCGTCGTTCGATTTTTCCAAGATGGCTCCCGCCTGTGTACACGAAGTCCACTGTCTTTATAAAATATCTTCTTATTAAACGGTCTGTACACTTACAAAGTTGCTTCGTTTTGCATGTATGGACCCTCATTATGTTACTGCGTTAGTGTGGGGCTATTTTGAGCCTTGTTAGTGTTAGTATAAACTAGCGTTGTCTTTTTACTTATTAAATGCCCTCATATACTAGTGTTATATGCTAATTTATCATGATTATCATGAAAACAAATCTCAGAGAACGGTCAACTAGGTACCAATGTGCTATTAAAACAAAGGTTTATTTTGTGCCGGAGTTCTCCTTTAATGTCTGCAGTAGTACACTGTAAAAAATATTGTTAGTTTAACTTAAAAAAAGAAGTAACCTCGTTGCCTTAAAATTGAAAAATTAAATTAATACAATGAAGGTGATTGATTTAATCATCAGAAACTCAAAATATTATGTTATATGAACTACATAAATTAAGTTGATTTGACAAAAGAAAAAATGTTGTGATTACAATTCATGAAAATATATATTTTTTTACAATGTAGTATTAGCTTAGCAAGCACCAACATCTGAAGAGTTCTTCATATACGTACATTTATACATTTATATAGAAACTGTTTAATATATAGTGGGAAGAACTGTAGACCCGTTGAGGCAACCGATTTGATCTGGATGTCTAGCTAGAAGGCTTTCCAGAAAACAACAAACGCTACTGTTGCAACTGATCTTATCATACTCAAATTCATTAGTAGTAAGCGAACCATGATCCCGATACTCATGTGAATATTGGCAATGATAGATGTCCCAAACAGGTTCCTCTGCTGAAAGTCTTTTGTTTGAGTGAGACGTCACCCTCCCTCTATTTCACACACCTATGGGTTTGTCATCAACTGTCAATGCCAAAGTGAAATGCCTCTGTACAATAGCACCTTTCACACACTACCATCTCCATAGCAATACACAAAGTGTTGTCTAACATGGTTTCTGATGGGTCCATTACGTCAAAGGACCGGCCCCAGTGAACGATCATGTCTGAAGTTTAACATCGATGAAGCGAGCGAGCCAAAGTCTCCCTGACATTAATGAAAATAAAAACCATCTGTGCATTCGCTTGTAAAACTCCCATTGTAGAAGAGGCTGAACATAATTGCTGTAGACAGTGGCTCTTTGGTTATATCTGGATACTCTTTTTTTTTTTAAAAAAACAATACACATATGTATCCTCGAGGCATGAAGCCAGAAAGCAGCAGCAGAACAAAATGTTCTGTAGGCGGGACAGAAAAGCACCAACAGCAGTAGAGACTAGACTAGAGAGAGAAACTACAGGAGGGGGACATGCAGGCTTGCTTTCTGGGTCTAAGCATTTAATTTATGACAAAATTACCAGAGAAGAACTTACAAACGCACGTGGAGACTAGAGGATGCGCTATAAATAACATTATCTGTCACTTTCATGGACTGGGTTGTAAATATCCACACTCTAAAAAACGTTATACTTGTAGTTGTTTGGTTTAAAACTGTGAAATCAATGACACAGATCAACTTATGAACATACAAAAACAAGAGAGAACCAACAAAATATCAATAACTGATTATGTTGTACTCAGTAGTCAATATGAAGAGTTCAGATGCAAAAGCCTCTAAATGCCATTTGAAATTTTCTTCTTTAATGATGATTTTTATCAAACTTGTATATTTAAGTTCAGTAATTTCACTTAAATAACAATTAATAGATAATTATCATTGCCATTTAAGTGAAATCACTGAACTTAAATATACAAGCTTGATAAAAATTATCACTCTAGAAAAAAATTTTCAAATGGCACTTAGAGGCTTTTGCATCTGAACTCTTCATATATGCTTTTTGTTTTTCTATGCTATTTTTGCTTAGGAAAAGAAAACCTGTAGCTGTTATTTTGTCAGATAAATATACTAAGACCAAGTTTAGTGTTTTATTCTTCCATAATTTCACTTTTTTTTTAAGGTATAATATATTTTCCCCGTATTTTGATGGTTTAATCGAACTTGTAGGGCCATAAAAACAAATACTGTAAGTCAAAAAAGCCTGAAGACGGCATTCACAGCCCACAAACAAACAGCCTCCCAAGAGTCCCTGGAGCCAGGCTGCATCTGTGATGTTCAGTATGTTATAATGCCGGATGACATTTAAAGAGCGTTCGGTTTTTATTCCCACTCACAGCTAGGCAGGAATAGGCAAGACTAAGAGAGGTACATTGTAGAGAAGTGGTCACTTACCTGGGCCATTATGGAAAGACTGTGAGCGTAAGAGTGGACGTGTGGATGAGGTAATGTCTCCACCGACTCCCAGAGGAGAGGCTCTCGCCCCGGCGCCCAGACCAAACTCCGCTAAAAAACATGTGTATATACACAGTATGTGTGAGAAAGGTGCTGATTTGAAAGAGCTACTTCATCAATACTCAGTGGTCAAGCTTACCTGGTAGAGAGGAAGAGGAGTGAGCTCGTGCCAGACTGTGGAGGTTTGGCTGAAAGGGAAGAACAGTTTGTAATTATTATAAATGTACTTTCATATACTATAGGCTTCGTTTCACTTTTTTTAAATAGGTGGGTTTATTCCAGCCATATAGTGAAAAAACAATTCATGTAATTTTTAGTGTTTTTGAAAGAAGTCTTTTAACGTTTTAAAATGTGATGTATTCCTGTGATTCAAAGCTGAATTTCCAGTGTCACATGATCCTTATGAAACCATTCTTATGATTCGATGATCAAGAAACATTTCAGATTATTATACTCTAAAAATACTGGGTTGTTTTAACCCAACTTTGGGTCAAACATGGACAAACCCAGCCATTGGGTTAAGTTTTTTTAGGGCTATTAAACGATTAATCGCGATTAATCGCATCCAAAATAAAAGTTTGTGTTTACATAATATATGTGGGTGCTCTGTGTATAATTATTTAATACACACATGTGCTTGTATATATTTAAGAAATATTTTCATGTATATACTGTATATAGATTTATATATAATTTATATTTTATATAAATATAAATATTTTATATATAAATAATATTTTTTCCTTAAATATACATGCATGTGTGTGTGTGTATATATATATATATATATATATATATATATATATATACACAAAATAATTATACACAGAGCACCCACATATATTATGTAAACACAAACTTTTATTTTGGATGCGATTAATCGCGATTAATCATTTCACAGCCCTAATTTTTTTATTACATTTTTAACCCAACGTTTGGGTTTGTCCAAGGGAAAAACATTTTGTAATTATTATAAATGTACTTTCATATACTAAAGGCTTCATTCACTTTTTTTTTAATGGGTGGGTTTATTCCAGCCATATTATGAAAAAACAAATTTTTTTTTTTTTTTGAAAGAAGTCTCTTGTGCTTACAGAGCCTGCATTTATTTGATCAAAAATGCAATAAAACCTGTAATATTGTGAAATATTATTACAATATAAAATGTTTTAAAATGTGATGTATTCCTGTGATTCAAAGCTGAATTTTCAGTGTCACATGATCCTATAGAAACCATTCTTAAATGATGATTTGATGATCAAGAAACATTTCTGATTATTGTACTCTAAAAATTGCTGAGCTGTTTTAACCCAACTTTGGGTCAAATATGGACAAACCCAGCCATTGGGTTAAATTTTTTATTACATTTTTAACCCAACATTTGGGTTTGTCCATATTTGACCAAAGTTGGGTTAAAACAACCCAGCATTTTTAAAGTGTATAAATGTTAAATTCTTTAAAGCTCTGTTGCTTAATATTTTTGTGAAATGTAATATGTTTTTTTTTTTCAGGATTCTTTGAGAAACAGAATATGTTAAATGTGTTTACTGTCACTTTTTTTTAATAATACCATCAATTAAATCTAAGTGTGTTTTACACTATGATTATGTTCTGTGCTATTATTTATAAACCTATAATAATAAAAAAAATAAAGCATAATCCTGTTAGACATTTTATAAAATACTTTTCAATCATGTCATTTATTTAATTATTGCATAATGTTTAAATTGCTTACGAACTGAAAAGAGTAACAGTATCGACTTCAGCCCTAAGGTCTTATTTATAAGCGTAATATTCTTTAATGGCAGAGTGCTTAAGTTTAATTAAGGTTAAGAGCAGTCGCAGTCTAATTGCTTGTCTCCAATGCAGTCATTTTACAAACGACTTGCGCAGTCATTAACACGACAAGCACTCTCTGTGGCACTGCGACAGGACAAAACAGCTCATACACACAAACCTGCATACTGTAACTCCACAGCTGCACTGGCTATTGGAAAAGAGGACTGTGGTTTGTGTCCGAGGGTTACATTCTGTCATATTCTGAGCCTTTACAGTCCAGCTTTGAGGCTGTTGAGCGAATGACGCTCTAGAGACGAGCATCTAACGCCTGCAGGGAGGAGGTCTGGGACGCCGCTACTCTTGCGCGGCTGGTTGTAATCAGGAACTGGTCCGGGTCCAGCGGACTTCTCTTGAGCGCTGGTTTCGCAACCCTCAGGGTACCATGCATGATTGTGTGGTGTGTGTGCCTCCATTAGGCTGTTATAGATCTCGAAATCCAAATAGAACAGCCATTGTTCTGCTTCTCTGTACTAATTAAGACATATCTTCAGATCAGTTGACTAGCGGGCTGGAGTAAACCGAGACTGCATTTTGTTCTACAGAGTTTGGACACGAAGTGAAGATTTTATTGCAGCTAAGAGCAGCTAAAAATACCATAATGTTCATGTTACTATTTTTTGGATATTTGGACAAATATTCATCATATTTGTATAGCAGCATGACTAGTTATAAGAAGCCATATTATACTATGAATATAGTTGTAGCTAAAAGGCATTCAGCGTCACGCAGCGCAGCACAGAATGTAGGATGCACTGCTGCTGTATAAATAAATATTTATAAATCTGAAGCATATCTAGGCAGGATATATGTATACACTCACCTAAAGGATTATTAGGAACACCATACTAATACTGTGTTTGACCCCCTTAATTCTACGTGGCATTGATTCAACAAGGTGCTGAAAGCATTCTTTAGAAATGTTGGCCCATATTGATAGGATCGCATCTTGCAGTTGATGGAGATTTGTGGGATGCACATCCATTCATTCCACCACATCCCAAAGCTGCTCTATTGGGTTGAGATCTGGTGACTGTGGGGGCCATTTTAGTACAGTCAACTCATTGTCATGTTCAAGAAACCAATTTGAAATGATTCGAGCTTTGTGACATGGTGCATTATCCTGCTGGAAGTAGCCATCAGAGGATGGGGACATGTTGGCCATAAAGGGATGGACATGGTCAGAAACAATGCTCAGGTAGGCTGTGGCATTTAACCGATGCCCAATTGGCACTAAGGCGCCTAAAATGTGCCAAGAAAACATCCCCCACACCATTACACCACCACCACCAGCCTGCACAGTGGTAACAAGGCATGATGGATCATGTTCTCATTCTGTTTACGCCAAATTCTGACTCTACCATCTGAAATCGAGACTCATCAGACCAGGCGACATTTTTCCAGTCTTCAACTGTCCAATTTTGGTGAGCTCTTGCAAACTGTCGCCTCTTTTTCCTATTTGTAGTGGATATGAGTGGTACCCGGTGGGGTCTTCTGCTGTTGTAGCCCATCCACCTCAAGGTTGTCTTCACAAATGCTTTGCTGCATACCTCGGTTGTAACAAGTGGTTATTTCAGTCAAAGTTGCTCTTCTATCAGCTTGAATCAGTCGGCCCATTCTCCTCTGACCTCAAGCATCAACAAGGCATTTTCGCCCACAGGACTGCCGCATACTGGATGTTTTTCCCTTTTCACACCATTCTCTGTAAACCCTAGAAATGTATAACTGCCGATACCGATAGTTTGGAAAATGCCTAATATCTGGCCGATATATCGGTCTGGCTCTAAAAAACACTCACAACAACAGAGAACTCTGTTGAAAGATAGTGGTTGTGTAAACTCCCTCACCTACAGCTAAAGCTGGAAACATGATTTATCTTCTTCAGTTACACAGACCTCAGAGAAACATCGCATACAATAATCTGTTACTAGTGGATAAATCGTTATTCAAATAAGTGGCATAGCATGTTGGTAGTTTTCATGTTGCAGTGGATTATGAAAGTGAGTGAACTGGAAGGTTTGTTGCCTTGCAGGCTCACCTGAGAACCAGACAGTGAGTTGACGGCATTAAGATAAGAGGGACGGGCGGCTCCGTAGGTCTCGTGTTGACCAGATGAGTCCTTCAGCATAGACTCTGCTCGCTTAATGATGTCCCCGATGCGGTAAATGAAACCTTCCTTCTCTGAGGGCAGGATGAACTCATTATGTACCTTGAGGGGGTGAGAAAAAAGAAATAAACAAAACAAAATGACTTAAGAAGCACCATCACTTCTGAATGCCGAGGGGAAGCACACTTAGACCTCACAGGGATCAACGCGGCTCTGTGTGCGATTCAAACTATCCCTTGACTACTTAAAATGAAACGTGCTTACTGGTGGACACTCTTTTAATTCAAGGGAGCTTTAATTAAGTTTGTCCACAAGCTGAGCTTTTACACACCACTAATAGCAGTGGGTGTTCACCCTTCAACCAATAACACACCAGGAGCGACTACAGCGCTGCCAGGACTCTCAGACGAAACAAAGAGCTTCTGTATCTGAGAGAAGGAGCTGCATGCAGTCACACAGGCCTGTCATCGAACACACACACACACACACACACTCACAATAGGCATCCGTCCATCCACTCCAACACACTCCGCATTACAATCAAAGCCTCAAACTTATGGAAAATGACAGGGAAAAAAAATAGATTCGATTTATACTTTGATTTTTTCACTTTTTCTTGCCCATTTATCCTCCAAATCAAATTTATTCGGAGCTATTATGGTCTATTTCTTTTGTCTTGATTTAGTTTTTTGGGCTTTACTAGAATAGGTTTCATAATTATTTCCCCGTATTCTCCATTGTTGCAGCACCTCTCTTCACAGTCTGTCAGTAACGCTCTGGGGTGCATTTCCCGTACAACGACGTAGTTCACTGTTTCACTACCATAGTTCGATACATCGTTGGAAAAATCAACTAGCTAGTCACGACTGTTTCCCGAAACCCATTGTCGCAAAGTATCGTTCAACCACGTTGGTTTCGCACGTGGTGGAGTAATAACTACTTTTAATGAAACTGTTTGAGATCCAATTAACGCTAGATTTGTTTTATATAAATTACAGACATGTCATCTGAGGACTATTTCTAATGGTTCTCAGTTATTTTGCTTTATTACCAGACTCAATATTTGGCTCGTTCTTACATAGTAGAGCACGTCCGCACATGCGCACTCTTCAAACACGGTACTTTAAATCTTTTGACAAACTAAAAGACGTAAATTACATTTGTATGTATTCTAAATAAAAGGCACCGGTTGTACTGAATGTCAGCTTGCTTATTTTGCTCAAGATAAGGATTTATTACGTCCAAATGTCAGAAACGATGCCTCTAACCACAGGTCGAGAGCTGTCGTTCAAATCACACAACTTTGCGATGCTGTTTGCGAATGTTCGTTGGAACGATGGTTTCGGGAAACACCGACTCGTTAAACTATGCAGATAACGACGGAACTTGCGACCATAGTTGGCTAACGATGCTTTTTGGAAATGCACCTCTGTTTAGTTCCAGTCTGAAGCCCCTCCTTCTGAAAAGCAAACTGTGCTCTGATTGGTCGAATGGGCCAGTGTGTTGTGATTGGTCAACCGCTTTGAGTGTGTTTGGGAAATGTCCTGCCCCTTACCATAACCAGCAGCACTACTACTAACTAACTAAACCTGGCTTTATTCTGCGTATGCCTTGAGTGGGAATTATTTAAATTAGGAATATTGTGACGTGTTCATTTTAAGGATAATAAGTCACTTTGCAACTACACGTCAACTAACACTTATTACAGTATTAGCAGAGTGTTATGTAGTAGAATGAGTTGACTTACTTCCAAAGTTACTTAGTAAGTCTGTTGGAGGAGCATCAACATAAAGTGTTATTAAGCAGACAGACTACTATTACTCTAATGACTGCTAGTTACTTATAGTTAGTAGTCCCTACAGGCGTAATTGTTCACAATAAGATCAATTACATGCATTTAGAAAATAGATTTTTTTTATTTATAAGTATAAATATGCCATGACATTTTGTGCAAAACCTGGCGCATTTTATACGTTTTTCGGGGTGAGCGTTCCATCAGAAAAAGAAAAAAAAAAAAGGAAAAAAAAAAGAAATGCAACTGCTCCCCTGCATCTTATAATGAGGGACAAACAGAACCAGATGTCTGAAACAGTTGGAGATCTGGCAGCTTAAATGTCAAAATATCTCTGAAATGTACAACAATAATAGTAAAATGTTACAGTATGTGCATGTGTATCATGTATTGTGCTCTTCTATGAAATAATCATTTTAAAAATGTGATCACACTTTACAATAAGGTTCCAGGCATTTTTAACCATTTTCACAGAATTCTATGGCCAACAGAATATATTGCATATAACATGCAGAATATCAAACGAAAAACCTCTGCTTTTAAACAAACAAACAAAAAAAAAATGTATACTAACTTATCAACAGCTTATCAACTTTATCAACACTTGAATGTGGGTGTTACCTAAAAAAAAAATTATTTTCAAAGACTACGTCAGATTCAGAACGATGATCAAAACACAAATATTGTAGATTGGTATGGTAATATTATAAATAATATTATAAGTTAAAAAATTGATTAAGGTGGTCAGAAGAGGCAAAAATGTGACAGCAGCAGTAATTAGTTTTCTGAAATTACAAAGTATGGTGTTTTAAATGTAAATTAACTTATATATATATATATATATTTAGGGCTGTCAAACGATTAATCGCGTCCAAAATAAAAGTTTGTGTTTACATAATATATGTGGGTGGACTGTGTATAATTATTTTATATATATAAATACACACACATGCTTGTATATATTTAAGAAATATTTTCATGTATATACTGTATATAGATTTATATATAATTTATATTATATATAAATATAAATATTTTATATATAAATAATATTTTTTTCTTAAATATACATGTGTGCGTGTGTATTTATATATATACGTATATATACAAAATAATTATGCATAGTACCTTATACACAATGAGTGCACCCACATATATTATATAAACACAAACTTTTATTTTGGATGCGATTAATCGCGATATATATATATATATATATATTAGGGCTGTCAAACGATTAATCACATTACATATATATATATATATATATATATATATATAAGAAAAATTTGATTTATAAAGTTATATGCTATGGAAACTCATCATTACAATCTGTGAAAAGGGTCCATTCCTATTGATTGATTGATTTATTTTTTTTTAAATCTGAATATTGGGGTTACTCTGATACTTCCAGCCCGAGATTGGCAAATATGATTAGTTTGAAAGTTCAGCAGTAACTTTTTGAAAAGAAATTCAACGAACAAACATGCAATGATACTTTTCCTGAGTACGACCCAAACACACACACATTCATATGCAGTTACACGGTAAAGGAAAGAAAAGACAATGAAAATGTTAGGCCCCTACCATCACCGCTGCGATGTCCTCAGGGTTGTCGCCATCCAGGTCAAACTTGAAGGTGACCATCTTATCGTTATGCGTCTGTAGCTGACACTCAACCACCCGATCTACTTTATCAGACAGCTGTGGGGAACAACACACACATCATTGTCACGGAAAACACAAATGTGTCTGTGTGCATATTACCAGATATTCATGTTATTGATACAGCCAGGGTGGGTTTCTAGACGGCCCCAAACGTATTGCATATTTTGCCATCAATGAAAAGACTCATAAGGTTCATTTTTAACATTTATGCATTTCGCATAAATCACCTTTATTGTAAATGCTCCTTATACAGAATCATTTTAAAGCAGCTTCCGAGTAATAAACATGAAAATAACAGAATTAATCAGGAAAACTTCATCAAACGTGCAGTTCAGTTCAGGTCAGTGTTGGTTCAGTTCAGTTCAAGAACTGTGTAAACAAGATTATTAAAATTATTTATGCATAATAGGATAAATAAAGAGAAAATTCTCTTTGTGCGTGTGCATTAGTCATGGTCTGAGCTAATTGTGTTTGACTGTGTGTTTATAGTTTATCTCTCTGGCCCTTTAAACACTAATCAATGCAAGCCCAAAGGGTTCCTCATAAAACAAATGACTGAGGACATCCGTACCCTCACCGAGAACGATCACACATGGACAACTGCTAAACATCTTAGTTAAATTCACATGCAATATCATTGCAAGTTGCCTTGCAAACATTATTTATTGATCATCTGATGGTTTTACAGACGTGCAGAAATGGACTGGCCAGTGGTATGGAGTAACGGTTGACCGATATATCACTGATATTTAGCATTTTTTAATTACCAGTACTGGGCACTACATTTTCTGCTTGGTTGATAACTGTTGGAAGGGGACTTTTATTTTGACAGAGACCTGTCGAAATTATATTATATAATTATATTATTATATGACAATAAAAATAATTTAAAACTAATTAAACTTGTATAATATATAATTATAGAGTTGTATACATTAAGGTATTATAATAAATTAATAATAAAAAGTTATTAGTAGGGCTGTCAAACGATTAATCGCGATTAATTGCATCCAAAATAAAAGTTTGTGTTTACATAATATATGTGGGTGCACTGTGTATGATTATTTTGTATACATATATCCAAGCATGTGTGTGTATTTATATATATAAAATAATTATACAAAGTGCACCCACATATATTATGTAAACACAAACTTTTATTTTGGATGTGATTAATCACGATTAATCGTTTGACAGCCCTAGTTATTAGTAATAAAAAATGCAACACTACCTCATTTTTTAAACTTTTTATTACATTTAGTGAATATAATGTCAAATTAATGTAAATATCATTGCAGCATTTCTTGTCTTTACAAATGAAATACTCAAAATTATATTATAATTATATTTTAAATAAATATTATATTTATATGTATAAAGTTATTAGTAATGCTATGCTTCCTCTTGTTCTTTTTCATGATTTTTTTTTCATTTTGGTAAATATGATGTCGAATAATATAAATATTATAGCACCATTTACTACCTTTTTAAATTAAATAGTCAAAATTATATTATAATTATAATATAATATTATTCTAAATGAATAATTGTTTTAATATATATATTTATAACTTTTTATATCAAGTTATTATAACAAATTTACAATTTAATGTGTTAAATATAATTTCAAATATCTTTAAAATTAAATATTTTAAGATCACATTTATCTAGTTTTTATTGGCCACCCTGCTCTCTAAAAGATATCGGTACCTGCATCGGCCATCAAAAAGCCCATAATCGGTCCACCATCGGATGAACTGCTGATTTTTACTCACCCCTGTAATCCGCAGGCGGGACCGCGTTCTTCGCCTAAACAGTTTCGCTGTTGTCCGTCGGGTCGCTGATTTGCTCCCCCTCTCTGATTGGCCCTCGTAGCCGTCGCTCAAGCCTGAGGTCACATCTGAAGCATAACTGTGACATAATCAGGATAATTATATGACAGATTATGGACAAAACATTATATTCTGTGAAACGATTAATCGCGATTAATCGCATCCAAAATAAAAGTTTGTGCTTACATAATATATGTGTGTAGTGTGTATAATTATTTTGTATATGTAAATACACACATATGCATGTGTATATTTAAGAGAAATGTGCTTTAATATATCAAATATTAATATTATATATTATATTAATATATATTTATGTATAACATTAATTTTGTATAAATATATATAAAGTATATACATTAAAATATTTCTCATATATATACATGAAGAGTTCAGATGCAAAATCCTCTAAGTGCCATTTGAAATTTTCTTCTTTAATGATGATTTTTATCAAGCTTGTATATTTAAGTTCAGTGATTTCACTTAAATGGCAATGATAATTACCTATTAATTGTTATTTAAGTGAAATTACTGAACTTAAATATACAAGTTTGATAAAAATCATCATTAAAGAAGAAAATTTCAAATGGCATTTAGAGGCTTTTGCATCTGAACTCTTCACATACAAAATAATTATACACACTACACAAACATATATTATGTAAACACAAACTTTTATTTTGGATGCGATTATTAATCGTTTCACAGCCCTAATTCTTTGACAGTCCAAACTGCAGGAAAAAATAAACTGCATCATTACTAGGTTTGCTATTGCTCATACAGCCGTTCGGGTAAAGGGATTTAAAAAGACACCAAACCACAAGTATAAAACTTCTGCTTGTAACTCGCCCACCACCATTTGCTAAAACTAAGTTTGTTATGCTAACATTGCACAAGCAAGTAAACTTATAAAAGTACAAAAGTGAACATCGTGTCAAGTAAACGAGTGTTTGGAAGACCCGAAGTTAAACTGGGCCTATAAAAAACGGTTCAATAAGCACAAAATGAAGAAAACCACAAACCCTTTTTTGTTTAATATTAGGTTTTTAAGACATTTCATGAGTGCTGTGTGTTCCCTCTTAATAGGTTTTACAAGTCTGAAGTAAGCAAACTTGTGTATGTCCTTCTCTTAGCCTTTGACCCACCGCATGCATTGTGTACTGTAAGTGATTTCCAAACCCTTGTGGAAAAGAAGTGTGCTCAATGTCCAATTGTCATGTCGTTTTCACCGCTCTGGAAACCCAATATAACGGCTACAGAGAACAAACTAGTCCGACGTAGTGTTTGAATTGGCTTTATCTTTGCCGAGTTTGGCCTGTTGGGACGTGGGGTCCACTCTGAGCTTGTTTCTATGAGCTAATTGTGTCTCTCAGGTATTTTACAAACACAAGCCTCCGTTTAATCCAAACACTGGGCTTCCTACGAGGCCCACAAAACCGTTTATAGCCAGCCTACTGCTTGGCAGACTCTGGCTCTTTTGAAAGATCTCTCCGCCTGCTTCTTATGAGTGGAAAACTATGTTGTAATGGCAGGCATTTGCTAGGGACAGCATCCAAGAGCCCTGTGGTGTATAAACAGGATCCTATATGTGCACTGTTACGAAAGATGGACTCCATATGAAAACATGGACCCTACTGAGCACAAAGCCATCAGTACATCTGGCACTAAAGTAAAAACACAAACCTCCAAGTTCTGTGTGTCTTATGGGTGTGTTTAATATGGCACAGATGCTATTGAAGAGCTGAGGGTCAAGAAAGCAGGTTTTTACCTGTCCACAGGTGAGGAGAAAGGGCTAGGAGGTCCTCTCTCTGTTTTAGTCGACACGGCAATACTCTGAGAGGACACATGAAGTACTTAACAATCAAAGAAGCAAGTTCATTATGACTTCCTGCAATGGTAAATTGAGTTTAATGGGTCTCCTATGTTTAAATCGTCATTAACTGAGGCCAATTTTGTCATTATAAACTCACCGAGGAGAAACGGAGAGCTGGGATTGGTGGAGAGGTGGTGGGCGTGGCCTGTGGAGAGCAGCTGATGCTGAGATTTGAAGCCTCGGGACCATCCTGTAAACCAGAGGGGCTGAGATCTCCATCAGTCTCACAGTCAGCTGGACAAACACAGAATCGGACACTCAAAACAGACCAAAGACAATACGCTTATATGGAATGAAAGTTATATATTTTATTTCAAAATATTTATTCTTTAATAATTTGTATTTTGAGGGGATTTCATGCTAATAGACAATATAAATGCCTCTATTTAAAGGAGTAGTTCACTTTTAAAAAACTTTTGCTGATAATTTACTCACCCCCATGTCATCCGAGATGTCCATGTCTTTCTTTCTTCAGTCGAAAGGAAATTAAGGTTTTTGATGAAAACATTCCAGGATTTTTCTCCATATAATGGACTTCAATGGGGTCCAAATGGTTCAAGGTTCAAAAGACAGTTTCAGTGCAAACTGCAAACTGTTGAAAGGGCTTTAAACGATTCCAGACGATGAATAAGGGTCTTATCAAGCGAAATGATCATTTAAGATAACAAAGTTTAAGTTTTATAAGTTTTAAATGGTCGCTTTGCTCTGTTCTGTGATGCGCGTTTGTGACTCTCCTGTTCGAACTCGTTAATCAAAATGAAAGAATCTTTTCTCCAGTCAATTCGTTCGTTTCATTCGTTGAATGAACCAAATGACACGAAAAAAGATTCGTTCATTTTGATAAACTAGTTCGAACAAGAGAGTAACGAACGCGCATCACAGAACAGAGCAAGGCGATCATTTGAGCTTATAAACTTAAACTTTGTTATCTTAAATGATCATTTCGCTTGATAAGACCCTTATTCATCGTCAATCATTTGAACAGTTTGCACTGAAACTCTCATTTGGACCTTGAATCGTTTGGTTCCCATTGAAGTCCATTATATGGAGAAAATCCTGGAATGTTTTCATCAAAAACCTTAATTTCTTTTCGACTGAAAAAAGAAAGAGATGGACATCTTGGATGACATGGGGGTGAGTAAATTATCAGCAAAGGTTTTTTTAAAAGTGAACTACTCCTTTAACTCTATATAAAATAATAAGAATAATATCAAAAAATATCGAAAACAACATGGCTCAATGTCTCACGGCAGTGCTATTTTAGTATCATTGATTTTGAATTCATTAAAAAAAGACTATAAATATGTTTGTGTAGAATTTTGTTCATTTTATTTCAGAGTCCAGCACATGAAATTTGGACAAAAATAAACATATCGTGGCCACGAATTAAGAATTATTCTCTAGTTAGTAAATAGTGGCCATGTTTTATTAATTAGTTCCCTTGTTTTAAGTCGTGGGGAAAATATAATAATTTGTTCTATTATTTTACTAAATCAAGCACACAATATAATAATTTGTTCCCCTAATTTTTTTTTTTGTTTACAGCATGACATGTCCGGGGTTATTTTAGTCAAACCAAATGAAAATGAGTAATGCTAATTTTAGTTACTTTTAGTTATTTTATTGTGTTTTTGTCTTATTTTCTTTTTTTAGTTTTAAGGCCATTGCTCACTGAGTCCGAAATTTTCGTACGCGTTTTTTCGTATTCGTGATTCAGTGGCTCTAAATTGTCAAAACACCATTCAAACACAATTCAAACTGCTTGCCACGGATGCGAAAAACGCAGAAAATCGAACCCGATTCGATTTTGTTTATGATGGACGAAAGTTTCGGAGGCAGTGTGCAAGCGTGATTGACATAACGTGAGGTCGTACTTATGTTTTAACGTGCGAAAATTTCGGACACGAATTTCCAAGGGCCTTTAGTTAACACTTTTGTTTATGGTCCAATTCTCACTATTAACAAACTATTAACTGCTACTTTTGCCTCAATAAACTCCTAATTACTGTTTATTAATAGTTAGTAAGGCAGTTGGTAAGTTTAGGTATTGGATGATTAAGGGATGTAGAATATTGTCATGCAGAATGATGACCATAAATATGCTTTATAAGTACTAATAAACAGTCAATCTCGCATGCTAATAACTAAGTAAATAGTTAACATGGAGAACTGGACCTCAAACTAAAGTGTTACCATTTATTCATTTTATTCAGTTATTTCAATACAACAAGTTAAACTAAAACTGAAAAGAGAAATGAGAAACATAGACATTAAAAAAATACAAAACATGGAAAAGCTCATTTAAAATCTAATAAAATCTCAATCCTAAAATAGCACTGCAGTGTGTTTCAAGTTAAGTTATATTTTTTATTTCAGTTGTTTTATTTCAAGTAACGGAAATTATATTTATGGTTTTTGTTTTAGTTAACTATAATAACCTCGGCTCACTATTAACACATTAACATAGAGAAGACATACGATGCAGGAATATTACAGTTCATAAAAATGAGCTTCGTATTACAGTGCCCTTCTTCTATAGTTTCCACTCCAAAAGTGTGTCAAACTGCATAAGTTGCTGTGTGTACCCGACCCCCTCGCCCTCCCTGTGTATAAGCATACACACACTGCTATTAAAAAGAGTTTGTTTGTGGAGTCAGTTGACTGTGCCATGCTGTTCTCGGCTCTCGGAGAGCTGCTGCCGTGAAAGAAACATTGAGGGAAATATAAGGTTTATGTGAGGCTTACTGGACCTCTTGAACCTGTGCAGGGGAGCCAAAAGACATCTAAAATAGAGCGGGGTTTTCAATGGCCAATAATGAACCAAAAATATATCCATCTGAGTCTGACTGATGTATCTGCATATTGCTACTACTCTGTAATCACACACACACGTGATGAAACCGAGATCTAGTGCTCACAGGTTGTTGAGGAGCAGCTTGTGTGGTGGATGTGGAAGTGTTGATCGGCCTCCGGTTCCTCTGGCTCTGGTGGGAAGCTCCCGATAATCCCCGAATCCGATGAGCCAATGACAGGCTCAGGGATTCCAGGAGTGGGCGGGGCCTGCACAGGAAAGGGGGCGGGGTTTTCAGACATTTGAATGGTGGGTTTGGGCGATAACAGCTCAGGCTCTTCCTCAATAATCTCCTCCTTCTTCTTCTTCTGCTGCTCCTCTGCTAGCCGGCGATGTTTTTCCCGCTGGCGCTTGATGGCCGTCACACGGTCTCGCATGGCCTTGGCCACCAGCTTGTAGTCCACCTCACATACAAACCCCAGAATCACCTGGGAAAGACAGGCTTTATTAGGAAGTGCTAAATTTTTAGAAAAATAATGTGCATCCTATCCACCCTAAATAGTATTGACAATTGACCCTTCGCTAAGCCCCGCCCTCCCTAGTTACTGTTGCTACGCCTGTCAGACTTTCGCGGCTGGCACATCTATTACAGTGTGGATGTCTGGTGTCAGACATTCCCAATCAGATAGTCATTCCCAGCAAACAAATTTAAGTTCTGAAAACGTTAGTTTTTGGTTCCCAGAGCATTCCTAGAACTTTCCCATAAGGTTAAGGGAACGTTCCCGGAACATTCTCCTTACATTATAAAAATGGAACCTAAAAATAACATACATGGAACGTTCCCATAACGTTGTTTGGTTCCCAAAAAAATAACCTCATGGGACCATTCGGGAACATTAGGGGAACGTTCTATGTTTGCTGGGATTTTTGGCGAACATGTGAAATATCTGAGAGAGCAAGACAAAAGGGAGGGACTGAAGTATTCCATTCAAGGGATATATCCACGACATAATATGCAACCAATTAGAGAATGCTGAAATATATTTCAGTGAGCCTCCGTCTTGTCTTTAAAGGAGTAGTTCGAGTCGAAAAGAAATTAATGTTTTTGATGAAAACATTCCAGGATTTTCTCCATATAATGGACTTCAATGGGAACCAAACGGTTCAAGGTCCAAAAGTCAGTTTCAGTGCAAACTGCTCAAAGGGCTTTAAACGATTCCAGACGATGAATAAGGGTCTTATCAAGTGAAACGATTGCTCATTTAATAAATAAATAACAAAGTTGAAGTTTTATAAGCCCAAATGGTCGCCTTGCTCTGTTCTGTGATGCACGACTGATTCGTGACTATCCGAACTCATTCATCAAAATGAACGAATCTTTTCCCGAGTCAACTCGTTCATTTCGTTCGTTGAATGAGCCAAATGACACGAAAAAAGATTTGTTCATTTTGATAAACGAATTCTAACAGGAGAGTCACGAACGCGCATCACAGAATAGAGCAAGGCGAGCATTTGATCTTATAAAACTTAAACTTTTTTTTTTCTTAAATGATCGATCGTTTTGCTTGATAAGACCCTTATTCATCGTCTGGAATCGTTTAAAGCCCTTTGAACAGTTTGCACTGAAACCGTCCTTTGGACCTTGAACCGTTTGGTTCCCATTGAAGTCCATTATATGGCGAAAAATCCTGGAATGTTTTTCATCAAAAACCTTAATTTCTTTTCAACTGAAGAAAGAAAGACATGGACATCTTGGATGACATGGGGGTGAGTAAATTATCAGCAAAAGTTTTTTTTAAAGTGAACTACTCCTTTAAATATGCACTCATTTGCATAAATTTCCAAATCTGAACAGTGGATGAAATGAGATAAAATAATATTTATTTAACTGAAATAAGATAATAAAACAATACTTTTGCCTGTAGCACTTGCCGATCTAAAGCTAAATGTTGCTTGGCATAAAGTTGATCTCGATAACCTTTCACCCAACTTTGGAACAGTGTGTTTCCACTGAAATAATGTTAGCTAATGTTGCTCTAAAGTCTCAATCACCACATCAGCTAGTCAAATTACACGACAACCCTCCGTCGATGTGATTTGACGATAAAATTTGTTCTTGATGAAAAGCAGACCTGATGAGTGATAAAAGAAGGATTGTGACCGCCCAGCCTAATAAAGCGTCTGGACAAGAGGAAGGCTCCAGTTTCACAACACGGTCTTGAAGCGATTCTAGCGCCGGTCACGTGACCCTCTTCCTCCTTTGGCCCCGCTCTCGCGTTTCCACGCTGATGATTAAAAAGTTCTGCCCTTGAAACTGTTATGCAACACACAGCAGGGTTACAATACACAGGCCTCGTCTTTGAGCCGAAGGGAATGGCGAGGGTCATGTCCCGCTATGTCAAGAAAAGCCTGCCAGATACAGGTGTGTTTGAAACGTTGTGCTCCACGAGGGTCGAGAGTTCAGTGACGGCCCACATCACTGACACAGGAAGAGTAAAGCAATCGACACTGAATGAGGACAGATTGTTGGAAATGACCAACACTGTGAAGGTCAGTTGTGGAAAGTCAAAACAGATAATGAAAGACACTGAAGCAGGTTGGACCAAACCTGTAGAAATGATAAGTAATCCTCTCAACCCGTCCATCAATTACATGCCGCACACGGAAAAAACAAAACAAAAATGTATTCATAAAATAAATAAATATGTTAAAAAATGAACGCATACATAAACAAATAAAAAAATGGATGAAAAAATAAAAGAAAGACCAAAAAAATATTAAGTTTAAAAGAATACAAGACAGAAATTAATAAATGATATAATAATAATACATTTAGAATTAAATTAAATTTAAAATGAATTATATTTGTTTTATGAAGTCATTTACTCGTTTAGTTATTTTCGTATTATTACTATCCATCCATCCATCCATCCATCCATCCATCCATCCATCCATCCATCCATCCATCCATCCATCCATCCATCCATCCATCCATCCATCCATCCATCCATCCATCCATCCATCCATCCATCCATCCATCCATCCATCCATCCATCCATCAGTCTGTCTGTCTGTCCGTCCGTCCGTCCGTCCGTCCGTCCGTCCATCCATCCATCCATCCATCCATCTATCTATCTATCTATCTATCTATCTATCTATCTATCTATCTTTCTATCTATCTATCTATCTATCTATCTATCTATCTATCTATCTATCTATCTATCTATCTATCTGTCTGTCCGTCCGTCCGTCCGTCTGTCTGTCTATCTATCTTCAATTTCTGCAGGTTTGGGCCTTCAAAAGGTGAATCTAATAAAAGTTGTCAAGAATATGTCTGCTTTATGTATTATATTTTGCTTAAAGAAAATAAAATATGTGTGTATAAACTTGCCACCTGCTCCATTACACATAATGTGTGTGTGTGTTTTTGTGTGTTTTTTTTATAAATTTGGTCATTTAATGCAATATTTACTCATATTTGAAGGCTACATGCTGTTTCAATGTATTATTTACTTAATTATTAAATTATAATTTAATTGGTTTAATTATTTGCATTTATTCATTTACAGTTTTTCTCGATTGCTTAAACACATTTCTTGAAACTATGCCTCTTATTCTCAAAACAGTAAACACAAATCCATAACGTCTCACCCAGTTTCCCAAACAACCTATTTTCAGGTCAAAATGAAACTCTACATTCAAAACCATTCACTCTTGCTGAAAAAACAAACTTTGCCCTCAGACAGGACACACAAGCCCTCAAAATAACACACACTACAACATAGTCTAACACACTGGTCCAATAAATCCAAAACTGGTAAGTTATGTTACTTGTGGTTCCCCTCCTCACAAACTTTTTCACATGACAAAAGACACAACCAATGGATACATTGGCGCATTTTTATTCATTCATGTACTACACAGTACCACACAAAAAAAAAAAAAAAAAAAAAAAAAAAAAAAGATTATTCCACCTCAGCCTCCTGCCTTTGGTCTGGGTCAAGCCAATCACATCCACATCACAGGCTATATTAGCCCTAGCCCGGCAGCAGAGGTAAAATTCTTTTGCCTGACTCACCCCTGTTTTCCTGTTTTTCTCCCTGAAATTTCTGATGATGGAGGCGAAGGTGAAGTGACTCAAATTAGGCTGTACTCGTTGTCCAGCCTCCCTCATAGTCATGCCATGGACAAGGACATGATCAACTCAAGTGGCTCTAATTTCATCTGAGACTGCTTTTCTCCTCCTGCTTCACCACCATCTCTTCTACCTCATCCTTCACCACGTCCCCCTCTTCCTCCTCCTCTCCCTCCTTCACCATGTCCTCTTCCTCCTCCTTCACCATATCCTCTTCCTCCTCCTTCACCACGTCCCCCTCTTCCTCCTCCTCTCCCTCCTTCACCATGTCCTCTTCCTCCTCCTTCACCACATCCTCCTCTTCCTCTTCTTCCTCCTTCACCATGTCCTCTTCCTCCTCCTTCACCACATCCTCCTCTTCCTCTTCTTCCTCCTTCACCACGTCCTCCTCTTCATCTTCTTCCTCCTTCACCATATCCTCTTCCTCCTCCTTCACCACGTCCTCCTCTTCCTCTTCTTCCTCCTTCACCATATCCTCTTCCTCCTCCTTCACCACGTCCTCCTCTTCCTCTTCTTCCTCCTCCTTCACCATATCCTCTTCCTCCTCCTTCACCACGTCCCCCTCTTCCTCTTCCTCCTCCTTCACCACATCCTCCTCTTCCTCTTCTTCCTCCTTCACCACGTCCTCCTCTTCATCTTCTTCCTCCTTCACCATATCCTCTTCCTCCTCCTTCACCACGTCCTCCTCTTCCTCTTCTTCCTCCTTCACCATATCCTCTTCCTCCTCCTTCACCACGTCCCCCTCTTCCTCCTCCTCTCCCTCCTTCACCATGTCCTCTTCCTCCTCCTTCACCACATCCTCCTCTTCCTCTTCCTCCTCCTTCACCACATCCTCCTCTTCCTCTTCCTCCTCCTTCACCATATCCTCTTCCTCCTCCTTCACCACATCCTCCTCTTCCTCCTCCTTCACCACGTCCCCTCTTCCTCCTCCTCTCCCTCCTTCACCATATCCTCTTCCTCCTCCTTCACCACATCCTCCTCTTCCTCCTCCTTCACCACGTCCCCCTCTTCCTCCTCCTCTCCCTCCTTCACCATATCCTCTTCCTCCTCCTTCACCACATCCTCCTCTTCCTCCTCCTTCACCACGTCCCCCTCTTCCTCCTCCTCTCCCTCCTTCACCATATCCTCTTCCTCCTCCTTCACCACATCCTCCTCTTCCTCCTCCTTCACCACGTCCCCCTCTTCCTCCTCCTCTCCCTCCTTCACCATGTCCTCTTCCTCCTCCTTCACCACATCCTCCTCTTCCTCCTCCTTCACCACATCCTCCTCTTCCTCTTCTTCCTCCTTCACCATATCCTCTTCCTCCTCCTTCACCACATCCTCCTCTTCCTCTTCTTCCTCCTTCACCATATCCTCTTCCTCCTCCTTCACCACGTCCTCCTCTTCCTCTTCTTCCTCCTTCACCATATCCTCTTCCTCCTCCTTCACCACGTCCTCCTCTTCCTCTTCTTCCTCCTCCTTCACCATATCCTCTTCCTCCTCCTTCACCACGTCCTCCTCTTCCTCTTCTTCTTCCTCCTTCACCATATCCTCTTCCTCCTCCTTCATCACGTCCTCCTCTTCCTCTTCTTCCTCCTCCTTCACCACGTCCTCCTCTTCATCTTCTTCCTCCTCCTTCATCACATCCTCCTCTTCCTCCTCCTTCACCATATCCTCCTCTTCCTCTTCTTCCTCCTCCTTCACCATATCCTCTTCCTCCTCCTTCACCACGTCCTCCTCTTCCTCTTCTTCCTCCTCCTTCACCATATCCTCTTCCTCCTCCTTCATCACATCCTCCTCTTCCTCCTCCTTCACCATATCCTCTTTATGGTGATTCTCTTTAAAGAGGATTCACCATATCCTCTTCCTCCTCCTTCACCATATCCTCTTCCTCCTCCTTCACCATATCCTCTTCCTCCTCCTTCACCATATCCTCTTCCTCCTCCTTCACCATATCCTCTTCCTCCTCCTTCACCATATCCTCTTCTTCCTCCTTCACCATATCCTCTTCCTCCTCCTTCACCATGTCCTCTTCCTCCTCCTTCACCACGTCCTCCTCTTCCTCTTCTTCCTCCTCCTTCACCATATCCTCTTCCTCCTCCTTCATCACATCCTCCTCTTCCTCCTCCTTCACCATATCCTCTTTATGGTGATTCTCTTTAAAGAGGATTCACCATATCCTCTTCCTCCTCCTTCACCATATCCTCTTCCTCCTCCTTCACCATATCCTCTTCCTCCTCCTTCACCATATCCTCTTCCTCCTCCTTCACCATATCCTCTTCCTCCTCCTTCACCATGTCCTCTTCCTCCTCCTTCACCACGTCCTCCTCTTCCTCTTCTTCCTCCTCCTTCACCATATCCTCTTCCTCCTCCTTCACCATGTCCTCTTCCTCCTCCTTCATCACATCCTCCTCTTCCTCCTCCTTCACCATATCCTCTTTATGGTGATTCTCTTTAAAGAGGATTCACCATATCCTCTTCCTCCTCCTTCACAATATCCTCCTCCTTCATCACGTCCTCCTCTTCCTCCTCCTTCACCACGTCCTCCTCTTCCTCTTCTTCCTCCTCTTCCTCCTCCTTCACCATATCCTCTTCCGCTCCCTCCACGTCCTCTTCCTTCATTTCTTTGTGGATCCATTGTTCCAAAACTCAGATGAACTGACTCTGGCATCTTTTAGGCACCTTGAAAGTTCTGATTGATGTGTGTTAAATTGTGACTCTCAGTGTTTTCATCTGGGTAATTGTGTGCTAAGTGAGCTGAAACTATGCTGACTTGAGTGAACAATATTGAATGCTAGTGCTTTCTAAATGACCACATGGTCTAGGCAATGAGAAATTAAGGGATTTGTGTGTAGAGTTTTGCAGTGATTGTTCAACAATTCTGATTCATGTGTCAAAACAGGGAATAGTGTTTATAGTTTAGGGAAATGGGTGTGCTTTTTGATAAATGGCATTATGGTTTTGAAATTTTAGTTCAAAAGCCTGGTTATAGTGTTTAAGCTATTGAGAAAAACTGTAATATAGAATTTTTATTTTCAAATAGTTACCAAAATAATATAATATAGTTTGTTAACACTATTTAAAGGTGTCATTGTTACAGTGTAATTATGAAGTAATGTAAAGTGCAGGGTAAAATAGTTTTACCAGCATGCACTTGCTATTGGGTTTGGTTTAGGGTTGCATGTTATTATACATCATTTACTGTTATTACTAAACTAAGTACGTGGTACATCTAACAATGACATTGTAAAATAAAGTGTATCAAAATTGCTACAGAGAACAGTGCCGACTTTCTGAGATTGGTAACGACTACAGCATTTTTGTTATTGTGATAAAACTATTAATGGCCATTAAGGTTTTAACATTTGATTAATTAAATTAAGCACATTCCCTCAGTTTCATTTCCAATTATCATAAAAATAATTGCCTTACAGTAATGAGAATTGACATTGAGAATAAGGGTTTTAGCGAAAACTCAAAAGTAAAATGTATGGAAACCTTTCGGCTCCTGCTTATGAGAAATGAGTGGAGAACTGTGCTTCACTGTTATGAAAATAATGTTGCAATGCAAAATGCTTAGTTTTTTTGAATGAAATGTGAACAATAGAGATTATCTTTAAAATAAACACCTGTTAAATTACAGGTATCAGTTACTAAGATACACATATTTACTTAATAGCTCTGTGAAAATCAAAGCTTCAGGACCATTGTTGCAGATCAGGAAGCTCAACCCACATATTAACGTACATAGGCTTTGTTGATCCCCGAGGGGAATATCTGCATGGGTTTAGTGTTTAAAGTGACAGTAAACCACTGAGTCATAGTGGCTGAGGAATGTTACCACACCTAGGATCCCTTCATAAAACATATCAAAAGCTGACAGTGGGACATGAGATCGTGTGTGAAGCTCACCATCTCCTGTGCCACCTCCTCTGGCACGTCTTTGTAAAGCTCGAACAGGAACTCGATGGCGTTGTTGTCCTTGTACTTTCCGTGGAGCTTCTTGGTGTCGTCCATGCGAAGCCAGAGCTTCAGGCTGGATTTGACCATATCATCTTCCTCGGCCAGTTCAACGTGAACGCCGTTGTGCTCCTGGAAGAACGTGTGCTCCAGCAGGTCCTGGATGGTGTATCTAGCCAGAGAGACATAGATATCAATCCACACAAACTCAACGTATAAAACTAGGTTGAAATAAATGTAATATTTGTAACATATAAGAAGTAAACTATGTCTAAACTATGACTGTATATATGTGTATATGTATGTAGGTGTATATGTATGTATTTTTTATTAATTTTTATTGTTCTTTACCTGCATTTTGTACTTGCTTTTAATTGTTTTGCCTGTAAAGCACTTTGAACTGCATTCATTTGTTTGGAAAAGTGCTATGTTTTGTGAATAAATGTTGTTTTTGAAAATATAGATTTTGTACACCGGTTTTCAAGTAGTATTATTTAAGCATAATAATGATTAAATTATTGAAATTATTCAGCATAAAGGTGCAGTCGCACGAGACCTCACGCTTCACAATCCAAACACAGGTGAATGGGATATTTCTTCAGGACACATGACTTAATGACATACACTGAAAAAAATTGGGTTTATGAACAGTTTCCACTCAGAATTTCACAAAAAATTTTAAAAAAAATTAAGAAATTAATATTTTGTTTAATTTAAAAATTGTAAAAAAAATAAAATAAAATAAAAAGTGTAGTTATTTGTATATTTTCCTTTTTGTTAAATTTTTTTGTTTTATTTTAAGTTTATTTAAAAGAATGTGTACAATAGTTTTAGTTTGGAGTAAAAAAAAGCGGAGTAGATAAATATTATAACATTGTGAATGGATATATTATTCTTTATAATTTAAAGGAGTAGATCACTTTTAAAAAACCTTTTGCTGATAATTTACTCACCCCCATGTCATCCAAGATGTCCATGTCTTTCTTTCTTCAGTCGATAAGAAATTAAGGTTTTTGATGAAAACATTCCAGGATTTTTCTCCATATAATGGACTTCAATGGGGTCCAAACGGTTCGAGGTCCAAAAGACAGTTTCAGTGCAAACTGTTCAAAGGGCTTTAAACGATTTCAGACAATGAATAAGGGTCTTATCAAGCGAAACGATCGCTCATTTAAAAAAAATAATAACAAAGTTTAAGTTTTATAAGCTCAAATGCTCGCCTTGCTCTGTTCTGTGATGCACGTTCGTGACTCTCCTATTCGAACTCGTTCATCAAAATGAACGAATCTTTTCCAGAGTCAACTTGTTCATTTTGTTCATTGAATAAACCAAATGACACGAAAAAAGATTTGTTCATTTTGATGAACGAGTTCGAACAGGAGAGTCACGAACGCGCATCACAGAACAGAGCAAGGCGAGCATTCGTGCTTATAAAACGTAAACTTTTATTTTTCAAATGAGTGATCGTTTCACTTGATAAGACCCTTATTCATCGTCTGGTGTCGTTTAAAGCCCTTTGAACAGTTTGATCCGTTTGGTCCTTGAACCGTTTGGTTCCCATTGAAGTCCATTATATGGAGAAAAATCCTGGAATGTTTTCATCAAAAACCAAAAAGCAAAAGATTTTTTAAAAGTGAACTACTACTTTAAGTGTCACTGTTTCCTGTTCTGTTTCCTATGTTTGCACTAGTTTCTATGGTGATTCACAGATTGATTCATTCGTTTCTGATGTCCTTTCATTGGTCTGTGTTTGTATTTCTATTTAGAAAGTTCAGAGACTGTTATTTTGAGTTTGTTTTCATTAAAATCACTGTTGACCCTGTGACATTGAGATTTTCTTTTTTATTAAAAACAGGCTCTGTTGAATGACATATTTTGCAAATTTCACCTGTGACTTGGCAGAATAATTCCACATAATAATAACAGCAGGTGAATGTGTAAATATATAACATTATTGTGTCTATACCAGATTGGGATCACAGAACATTTTTCAAGTGTAAAATCAAATCAATAAGCTGAGCTGCAGTAAAGTACCTTTCATCTTTGTTCATGCGGATACAGCCTTCAATGATTTCCTTCAACTCTGGAACTTTCACCTTGCAGAAACTGTCCGGCTTTATACCCTGAAAACAGCGCAAAATGTCAAGAGTTTGACAAAAACATCAGTCAAAGACGCTTAATAAGTTTTAATAAAGCCAATCATTAATCTAAAGTTCAAATGTTAATAACATGATTCCCTTTCAGATAATCTAATCACAGCGAGTTACATAAGCTACTGACAATAGCTAGGCTTCCATCCACCTATTTTTATGGGAATTTGGGGGAAAAAAAACACTGGATGGATGCACAGAAATAATAAAGATACACTTAAAGACATATGCACTCAGTTGAGGCGCAACTTAAAACTCATGTGACTTACAACTGGATAACTGGACTAACCAGTGGACCAATCACATCGCATAGCATCTCAAATGTTGGTTTGATCATTCTGAAATGTCTGAGCCAAAGTCTGTCATCAAAATGGTTTGGTATAATGATTATTCGCAAATGTTTGTGCAATATTCCATTTTTTTGAACTTTCAGTAATATAAGACACTTTGTAAATGAATAATAATGGCATCTATGACCTTAATCTGTTCATGAACCCAGTGATACAATTTAATAAAGCCCTGAAATATTAATTTCTTCCAAAACACACTTCACAACATGGCTGTTTTAATAACTTTAAGATCTACAACAGTTCACACCGGTTATTTGTCACATTTGAGTAACTTCGACTAAACAAAAGTCTTCAATAATGTGAAGTTAAACTGTTAAATTTCCAAGATTTGCAGCTGAGGGCTGAATTGCAGCTGGAGTAGGTCACTTTCCCAGTGGACTCGTGTAATATTTGTGGAGCATGAGCGGTATAAAGCATGAAGTTCACGGGAGTTTTGGATGAGTGCCTGTTGCGTTTACACTCCTTGGCTTTGTCATTAACACTCAACAACCTTTTCAGAGCAGGCTTTGTTTCGTTCTTTCATCAAGACACGTTATATAACACGCCTATAAACCAAAACCACTGGCGTCATCTGTGTAAAGTTTAGCTATTTGTATAAAAACAACAGAAAGTTGTTTTCGGACATGCAAAATCAAAACATTACTAAAAGCCTGTTGAAGTACAACATGTCTCAATCCACTAAAGGTTGTTGTTGTAGGTAAAAATACTTTTATTATTTGGTGTATTGGTACGTTCAAGGCATGCAGTCGCACGACGAATACATTCAGTCACAGGCGATCCACCCTCCAATCCAGAAGGGGGCGCACGTGACAATACAACACTGTTTGCTACCAGTAAAAAGTGCAGAAAAAGAAGAGATGATCGATTGATTGATATGTTTACATGTCTCAACTGCAAAAAGATATCAATAAAACAGCTTGAGAATAATATCTCATGTATCATTACATTTACCTCAGGCATTTAGTGTCGACAGCAGATTAGTTCGCTAGCGAAATGCGTTTCATATGCACTATATTAGCCTATTCATTATATTTACTTAATATTTTAGTAATGTCTTGATTGTTTAATGTCTGTTTAATTAAAATTGTCATTAAAACAACTTTATTTGAACTTAATTATATTTCAAAAATGAATTGGTGAAGAAAATTAACTTTATAATTAAATTTAGAAGTTAATGCAAAACCTTATGTGCCATTTACAATATTTTTTTAGTGTTGATTAAATATATATATATGTACACACACACACACACACATATATATATATATATATATATATATATTGTATCTAAAAATAAATATCAACTGAATTTAATCATTTGGTCTCTTGTTAATTGTAACCTTTAATATTATAGTAATGTGTAATTAAGGGATCCCCATATTTTACGGCATTAGCGAAGATAGAGTTTTTTATCCTTTATTTTAATAAAATGTATTTAAACACATATACACATCTGTTTAAAAACACAGTTTAATTAAAGAAAAGATTTTGTGTTTAGTTTTCTAACCCCTGCAGTAACGAGACTTACGTATACCGAACCCCCTATAAACTATGAGTGAATCTAACTTTACTAAGTTTCCCTTATTTGGACTGTTATATTAAGAAGGTTTTTTTTTTCTATTAAATAAATTGGTTTACATTACATTAATTACAAGAAGACATCTGAGCAATGCCGTAAACATGTTGATGTAATTTAGACGTAAAGTCCAAATGCAATAAGGGGCAGACAAGTGGATATACAGCATCAACAAGTTATACAACAGGAGTTGACCTCTCTGTGTCCACATGTGACCTTTAGGGCCTTTCTCAAATGGTTCAGAGTGAGACGAGTCCTGGGCTTTTGCAAACAGGATACAGACAGGGGGTAGTCCAAACTCTGCCGGGGGCCCTAATCAACCCAAAGCACAAGTCTTAAACCTCTGCTCAAAGACGACACACAGCACGCTCTTTAGGAAACGAAGACCAGCAGGAAGAGAAGGAAAGAAGGGAATAGAGGATGTTTACTGCCCTTGTCATGCTAGCTTTAAGTTCTCAGAGCTGTCTTTGTGAGAGATTAAACAAGGACACACCGAATGGATGGATATATACTCATGCACAATAATGCAAGCACCACATCTGCATGATAATAAGACCTATTTCAAAGCATTAATAACATACAATCTTGTTCAAACGTTTGTGATTGGTGCATTTTTTTTATGTTGACCAAAGTTGCATTGGTAACACTTTACAATACGGGTGCACTAATAAGGATTAACACATGCTTAACTAATGCACAGATAATACTGAATTAATTTGTAACTAATGATTATTTAAGCTATTCATTAATGATTACCACATTAGGAACTAATTAAGAGTCTGTAAGGTTAATGTATTAGTTCATACATGAATTGTTATTCATTTAATACGTAATTGTGGATTAATTCTATAATAACAATTTTTTTAACTAATAGTGTTAATTAATATGTTAATTACCAGAATGAGCCAAAGCCTTGTATTTCAACTTCCAGATAATATGACAGGTACACTAATATGCATTAATACATGATTAATTACTTCATTGTTAGTGCAAATTCATGTGTAAATTACTACAATTACTAAATGACTAGTTAATAATGATGGGCCCCAACAAGTAAAGTCATAACATAATGATGCCCTTGCAAATCATTAGCTAATGATTAATTAAAGCAGACAACTGGAAGTTGAAGTGCATAGCTTTGACTAATTGTGGTAATTAACACATTAATTTACACTATTAGTTCATAAAATATGTTATTAAGAAATTAATACACAATGACACATTGAATTAATAGCATTGAATTAATTACTTAATCTTTTAAATCATATAGACTCTTTATTAGTTGCTGATGCAGTAATCATTCATTAATGGTTTAGTTCTTCATGAGTTATACATTAACTCATGATTATCTGTGCATTAGTTAAGCATGAATTGATGCATATTAGTGCAACCGTATTGTAAAGTGTTACCGTTGCATTTATTTGGTTAGAAATAATAATATTGTGAAATTTTCTACGTGAATGTATTTTAAAATGTAATTTATTCCTGTGATGCAAGTGTCACATGATCTGTCAGAAACCATTGTAATATGCTGACTTGAGAAACATTTATTATATTGAAAACAGTAAATAATTTTGTGGATTTTTTTTCAGGATTCTTTGATGAACTGAAAGCTCAAAAACAGCATTTATTTGAACATTACAAATGTCTTTATTGTCACTTATTTGATCAATGTGATGCATCAGTGCTGAATAAAAGTATTCATTTCTTTCTTTAAAAAAAATCGTACTTTTTAACAAACCCCTAAATTATTGATTAATTTATAAAGGCATTAAATATATTTATAATACAAGCAGGTTGAAACTCACGCTGGTAACTTTGCGGTAAATCTGGGCGGCGTTTTGGCACTCTGAGTATGGGTATTCTGATGTGGTCATCTCCAAGATACACATGCCGAATGCGTAGACGTCCACCGCCTCGTTGTACTTCTCCTCATACATTTCTGGAGCCATGAACTCTGGAGTTCCTGTTAAACACAATATGAGGACGCTCAGACGTCACTAACAAAACAGGTATCATAGTAATACTGTGTTTATGGGAAAATAACAGTTACCTTGAAGTATACCACCATATGTAAATATGGTAATCACTCAAAACCCTTGTGAAAGAGATGTGTGCTTAATTCTATTGAATGTGTACTTACATCTTAAAAGTACAGTATATTAAAAAACTGTGTGCAACTAACAAAATATTGATTAATTAAATGGTCTCTTAAAGAGAGTACATTTTCTTGACTATGTTTCTTAACACTTTTAAAAAGCGCACTTTATTAAAACAGAGACAATTTACATAGACCCCTTTTGCGCCAATGTCACAGTTACGTCACGGCGTGAAAACTGGAGGCGGCCAATACAAACCGGCACAGATTCGGCTACATAAATCGCACCGTAATGTCACTCTTTACATTGTCGTCGTCTCGGCGCTGGCTCGGCAGAACTGCGGATCGTACACACAAGTCTTGTACAGGACCATATAGTTATAGGCGTCTAAAGATTTATATGCCCTCAGTTTTTCTTTACGATCGTTTTCTCTATAAGGTAGGTGTAGAAGGCCACTCAACCGAGGTAACGTACGTTAATCCTGTCAGATCGTCCATGCATTGAGTGAGTGTGTAGGGGGCTACGGTCGGCCAATCTGATTCTGTCCATTAAAAATAACTTTTGGAAATAACAATCGCGGTCCTGGACGCTGAGTGACCTTACACATTAAGATAATATCGGATTTTCTCCAGTCATTGTTTATAAAACAAGCTAACAAACAAGCTAATAGTGGATCATTCTGCCTCCACCTAAGCTCCGCCCACAAAAAAAACGTCACCATGTTTACCAACTGAAAAGGGGTCTATAGAGACATGCCACTTTCTAAATCCTTAATGCAACTACTGTATATAGGGAAAACCCATAACGCCTAAGATGGCGGTTGTATGCACATGCCCCACCCCTCCCACTGGAAAGCCAATAGTCTGCTTTTAACAGTCAACATTTAAGCCAATCGTATCGTCTGGTTCCACTGACGCATGCGCACAGTTGATGTCTGCACTCTAAACAAGGCTGGGTTGTTTTAACCCAAATTTGGGTCAAATATGGACAAACCCAAATGTAAGGTTATAAATGTAATTTAAAAATGTAACTAGAGATGCACCGATATGAACATTTTGGCCGATACCGATAACCGATAATTCTTTATATTTGAAAGCCGATAACCGATATATCGGCCGATAAACTTAAATCCAAATTTTTATCTAATTTTGAGAGACTGATTACAAAAACAAAAGTCTCACAATTAAATCCATGTCCCAAGCACACAATTATAATGATGTTCTCATTATAGTGTTGTATAGCCGATATGACAGATTTGCGTTGCTCATGTTGTCCCAAACCAGATTTTCATTTTTTGAAGAGATTTCAATCATATTTCAAGAAATTCAAAAACATAAACAGTTCTCAACAAGTGTCTCAGCTGACGGAATAATACATTATTTATCGGTTTTAATATATCGGCCACATTTTCTTACCAGGCCGATAACGATAACATTAAAAATGAACATATATCGGCCGATACCGATATGCTGGCCGATATATCGTGCATCCCTAAATGTAACCCAACTTCAAGTTTCACTTTCAACTCTACATTTTTAACCTAACATTTGGGTTTGTCCATATTTTACTCAAATTTGGATTGAAACAACCCAGCATTGTTTAGAGTGTGCGACAGTGGAGACGAGAACCCTTGCGCATGCGTAGTAAAAGTATAACCTGTGGGGAAAAGGGCGTTTTAAACATCATATAAATCATATTTTATTGCTGTTTCTATACAAGCAGTTTTTATGTCCCAGTGACCAGAGAAAGTGCAGTTCTGACTCTCTGCCCATTCATTTAGATATGAGCCTGGTCTTGTTAGTCTGAAATAGCTGCCCGGAGGCATTACCAAGATGGCGGCCGAGTGGCAGGACTTGCTTAAATGGACTTCGTAATAATGTGCACTTTGTAATTGCCTTTAACAGGAAGCAATGGGAGGATGCCACGTTCTTATAGTGGCTAAAGGTGAAAACTTGAATCTCAGAGGATGTAAGATTAATCATTTCTGAGAAACTACAGTAGTTTCCAATGACTTACCTATTACACTCTTTGCAAAACTTGCCCTCTTGAGTGTGGCCAGGCCAAGGTCCCCGATCTTCACACTTCCGGTGGGCCCTGTGATGAAGATATTGTCACACTTCAGGTCCCTGTGAATGATGGGAGGGGTGCGAGTGTGCAGGAAGTGAAGTCCTTTGAGGATCTGACGACTCCACCTCTGTAAGAGCTTTGGTTTCATCTCTTTAAATCGCTTCAGATACCTAGGAAATTGGCAAGCATAACAATGCTTACCTCAGCAGCAAAAAAAGAGGAATTGATATGATGTGAGATTGTGAGATGAAGGACAAACTGACGTTTTGAGAGTGCCAGAAGTCATGAGCTCGGTGACCAGCAGGACGCACTTGTGACCTTTCACAGTGGACTTCCAGGAGTCATAAAAGCGCACGATGTTTGGGTGCTGAAGACCCTTGAGCATTTCAACCTCTTCACTGAAGCGCTGGCGCTCCATTTTGGTCAGTTTGCGAGTCTGTAAAGAGTAGAAAAACAAAAAGAAACAGAAAAAATAATGATTCTCAAGTGTACAACAAGTGGACACTTCACAGGAAGTTTCAAGTAAAAAACTAATGACTAAGAATTACAAACTTAAAAGGTCTTAAAGAGGACACATTAACAAAGTCTTGATTTTATTGCTGGACTCGAAAAGGTTTTCATGCTTGAATGTTAATATATATATACTATATATATATATATCCCCATATTCTCCATTGTTGCAGCACCTCTCTTCACAGTCTGTCAGTAATGCAGCGGAGTGCATTTCCCGTACAACGACGTAGTTCACTGTTTCACTACCACAGTACGATACATCGTTGGAAAAATCAACCAGCTAGTCACGACCGTTTCCCGAAACCCACTGTCGCAAAGTATCGTTCAACCACGTTGGTTTCGCAGGTGGTGGAGTAATAACTACTTTTAATGAAACTGTTTGAGATCCAACTAACGCTAGATTTGTTTTATATAAATTACAGACATGTCATCTGAGGACTATTTCTAATGGTTCTCAGTTATTTTGTTTTAATACCAGACTCAATATTTGGCCCGTTCTTACATAGTAGATCACGTTCGCACATGCGCACTCTTTAAACACGGTACTTTAAATCTTTTGACAAACTAAAAGACGTAAATTACATTTGTATGTATTCTGAATAAAAGGCACCGGTTGTACTGAATGTCAGCTTGCTTATTTTGCTCAAGATAAGGATTTATTACGTCCAAATGTCATGCAATATAGAAACGATGCCTCTAACCACAGGTCGAGAGCTGTCGTTCAAACCACACAACTTTGCGATGCTGTTTGCGAATGTTCGTTGGAACGATGGTTTCGGGAAACACCGACTCGTTAAACTATGCAGATAACGATGGAAGTTTGCGACCATAGTTGGCTAACGATGCTTTCGGGAAACGCACCTCTGTTTAGTTCAAGTCTCTCTGAAGCCCCTCCTTCTGAAAAACACACTGTGCTCTGATTGGTCGGCTGGGCCAGTGTGTTGTGATTGGTCGAGTTTGTTTGGGAAATGCCCCTCATTACCATAACCGCCAGTTTCAACATGCTCCTAACTAACTCAACCAGGCCCCGCCCCTTTATTTTGCGTATGAATTATTTAAATGAGGAATATTGTTACATGTTCGTTCCCGGAAGAAAACTCAAGACAACAATGGAGGTGTTTCAGGAGTTCAGAAACACTAACACTGACACTGATAACTCCCGCTAGAGGGACTTTGTGACTTTGCAGACCTTTTTGACGCTCAAACCGCAACATCACACACTAAAGAAAGATGAATATGAAGAACAAACAATCTGTCGTGGGCAAAAAACAAACTTAAGTTTACATTTCAAGTGTCGTAAATTCTTTCCCTCAATAAGCATTACGTACATCATCCCTCAATAAGCATGATCACTGCATATTCTGACAGATCACAACCTGTAATTAGTGTTTAAAAACTATTAAAACAGATTAGGACCAGCAAGACAGTTGCAACCGCAAGAAATTTACATTAGCACCCTGCATAATAACATAATCATATTTTCCCCTTGTCACATAATTAGATCCCATTCTAAACATAAGTTTTGGAAAAACTGGACTACAAACAAGCAATGACTTGGCAACAAGGCCATTTCTGTCCTCTGGTGGTTATGAAAGGCTTGATTTAGCTGGTCTGGGCCTCTGGAAAACTCCTCAGAGACACCAGCTCAAGAACCATGAATCCTACATTCAATGAGTTCTGGGAAAAGTAGTGTGTGTTTATGTCTCGAATGACCAGATATAAAAACACACAGGAGAGAGGCAGAGGCAGGATGAGATCTACATTTAACTCTGTATTTAAAGATGCTTCTCATAAGACTCCTTAGGCGAAATGACAATAGACAAAAATGAGGCAATTTGTTGAACGTCATATGAAAAAAATCTACCTTTCAAGTACATACATGTATAGTATACTATATGTATACTGTGTCAAGATCTTACAAATGTGCTTAACATTTTCAAGAAAAGATACAACTGAATGCCTCTAAAACATGGGTAATAACTGCTTTTAATAATTACTACAAGATAAAAAGTAGGCCAATTTCAATATCCTTAATTTTGGGGGAATTTATAACCAGCACTATCATAAAAAGGTCAAATTATTAGATATTTTAAGAGACTTATTGACTTTGGCACACGGTTATGAGGGCTGACAGAGGTTTTCTATCCTATGACATCATTTCCTGCTATATTTTTTCATTTATGTTGGTTACTCTACATGACTTTGATTTGGCAGCCAATCTATTTCAAATATTTGAAATATTTTAACAAAACTGTATAATAGCTTAGGAATGATAATATGAGTTTGAGTTTTCTGTTCAATATTCGTTTTCAAGAGTCTTTTTTCTTCATGATTTTAGGACGGTTGCTTCACCCTGACATTTAATTTTATACTCCCAAAAATGTCAAAATATTGTGTGATTTAAATATAACAACATGCCCGGAAGTGTATTTAAGTCCTTGTATACCTGAAAACTAAAACCATATTAAAAAAAAAAACATATCGCTACTTGAAATAAAAAAACAAAAAAAGTCCATGAAATAACATTTTATTTCAGCTAGTTGCTAAAGACACATTTCTCTAGTTCGTTTAGTCTAAATCTGAAATGAAAATTAATAAAAACTAAAAACATATTTAATGTAGTACTGACACTAAAACTCTGAAAACCTGATTTTTTCTCACACAGTAATTTTTATTTTGGGTGACATATACATATTGTTGCATTTTTGTATTGCGATATATTGTGACACAATATATTGTTACACGCCTATTGATTCGTGCTCAAACATGTATCTGTCCCAACCCAGCATAAATAAGTTTCCCTAAACTTGGCTCAAGGCTTTGTGACACCAAATGATTGACAAGCATTGTTGGCCTTAAACACACAACTCCGAGTCCCTGAGTTCACTCACTCACGCTCAGTTCACCTGAAGTACAGTACTATCCCCCAACAACCCCTGCAAAAACACAGCCAAACATAGACACACATTAACACATGATACATACACACGGCACTAATCTAATTAGGGACTCCAAACATCAGTTCTGCATTTTCAGTCAACATAGGATTGCCTTTCAGACTTGAGTAAGTGTGAAATCAACACTGAGCTTCTGTCCCCATAACGCAACTGAGTCCTTCTCATACACACAGGCACGTTTTGAGCACAGCTAATGTCATTATCTCATCAAATACACTCGGTAGGACTATATCTGTGCTGGGAAAACAAGCTGACGGAGGTGCAGGGGAGTTGGGTGGGTCCTGTCACCAGCAGAGGCTATACGAAGAAGTGCAGGACACGTATTTAGGTCACCAGAACCTGTTTCCAGGATGTAAATATCATAAAGATACATTTGACTTTCCATCGTCTTCTAAAAGCAGAGAGGTTTTTCCAGCAGAGTCCCTCTCACTCTCTCTCTCTCTCTCTCAACCCTCAGTAAGACACTAAAACAAGAGTTTTCCATAAAAATATTGCATTTGACAAGCTGTAAGTTCCACCACTGGTTCACAAACAAGAAGTTAACACTGAGTACCTTACATTTTAAACACAATTTTGCCAATTACCAAATGCTCTGTTAACAAAAACGTTTCTGAGAAATAAAGTCGCAATTCCGAGATGTAAACTCGCAATTGTAAGAAATGAAGTCACAATTGTGAGAAAAAAAGACAGAATTGTGACTTTTTATCTCACAATTCTGACTTTTTTCTCACAATTTCGAGTTTACACATCTCGAAATTCTCACTTTCTAACACAAAATTGCAAGTTTATATCTCGAAATTCTGACATCTTTTCTCAGAATTGTGAGATATAAACTTCAATTGCGAGTTATCAGGCCAATTCGAAGAGGAAAAAAGACAACTTTGTTCCCCTCAGAATAGTTTATATCTCACAATTCTGACTTTATATCTTGCAATTCTGACTTAATAACACGAAATTGCAACTTTGTATAATGCAATTCTGACTTTATATCTCACAATTGCGACTTTATATCTCGCAATTCTGACTTTATATCTCGCAATTCTGACTTTATATCTCACAATTGCGACTTTATAATATGCAATTCTGACTTTATATCTCGCAATTCTGACTTTATATCTCACAAATGCGACTTTATAATATGCAATTGCGACTTTATATCTCGCAATTCCAACTTTATAACACACAAATTTGACTTTATATCTCACAATTGCGACTGTATAATATGCAATTGTGACTTTATATAACGCAATTCTGACTTTATATCTCGCAATTCTGACTTTATATCTCGCAATTCTGACTTTACATCTCGCAATTATGACTTTATATCTCACAATTGCAACTTTATAATATGTGTATTATAATAACTTTATATCTTGTAAATCTGAGAAATAAAGTCAGAATTGCGAGATGTCAAATCGCAATTGTGAGAAAAAAAGTCAGAATTGTGAGATAAAAAGTCGCAATTATCTTTTTTGTTTTTCATTAAGTGGCGGAAACAAGCTTCCATACTTGTAGTGTACTTCAAATCTTAAAAAGCATATTTTTTAAACTGTACTAGTAGATAATATTACCTAGATAAAAGGAACACTTTCATAACTATGGTTTTTAACACACTTAAGTACACTTTTAATAGGACGCTATTACTTTTTAAAAGATTACAATTACTTTTAAGTTCAGTTTTAAAAGCAATTTTGTCCGTCCTTTGAAGAAGTAACCTTATTTTGATGTGTTGATAAACATACTTAAACACATGTAAAGTAGCCTATACTTGATTATAATTTTAATGGTGGAGTGTTATTTATTACATTTAAAGCAGGGCTGTGCAAAGATTAATTGCAATTAATCACATCCAAAATAAAAGTTTGTGTTTACATAATATATGTGTGTGCTGTGTATAATTATTTTGTATATATAAATACACACACATGCATTTATATATTATCTATATTATATATAAATATAAATA